TCAATTAGCTCCAAGACAGGCGGGCATGGCTGGGCTGCAGTTCATGGCGACCGCAAACAGCAAACCAGAACCAGCAAAGAGCAAGACACACCTTCATCCTGCCATTACATCACATCCTGGCTCTACCCCTATGTGGGTGGAGAACTGACACCATCAATCCAAGCACTAGACAATGAACCAATCACAAATACACAATGCAAACTCATGAGGCCTGGGGGACACAGACATAAATCCTGACAATTATGCATCACAAACATAAAACCTCATGTGCCAGACTTTAATTAAAATCTGCCTGCCTGGAGGCTGAGGGGGATGCCCCGGCTGGGAGAAATGACAGTCTTTGCACTCCTGAGTCAAATCACAGCTCGCCCAGTGGTACAGGTGTGTCCAGATGTTGCCCAAAGCCCCCTGTGCTGCCTTATATGTGGGGCTTTGGGAGCTGATTGGGTTACCACTGGCCTCATGTCCTGGTGAGCGTGGAGTTGCGTGTGGGCTGGAAGGTGGCATGGGTAGGAGGCAAAGCACAGGCAGGGGTGCCCCAGCATGGTCCACCTGGCCCCCTTCGCACTGGACTTCCGCTTCCTGCCCACCATGCCATGAGCAGGCCTCCTCTACCCACCCATCTGCCCGGCTGCCTGCTCAAAATCTGGGTACTGTCCACTGAAACCTGGGCAAACTGTAAGCAGAACAATCTCTTGCCCTGTAAACTAGGGAGTGTCTGGTATTTTGCCCCAGCAGTGGAAAAAGTGAAACACTCAGCTGGACCAGGCGGTGAGATGGTTGCCCTCGCTGAGGCAGGGGGTTCTGTCAGGGCTCCCGCTCAGGGAGATTCAGCTGAGAGAGGCAAAACATTTCTGGTCCAGGCCAGGAGGGTCCACATAGAAACAGGGCATCCCCACACATGGATGACAGACTTTCTAACAGCCATGATGAAGCAAGTTTATTTCAATTCTGAGTCACGTTAATTCAAAACTGCTCGAGGCTTCCATTCTCCCCAAGATTGCCAACACGAGGATTTGATACCTACAACGCTCCTCAGTTCACAGAAGCCCCATTTTGGGTCCTCAGTAGCCATGCAACTGCAGCCACACTGTGGGACAACCTGAGTGCTGGTTCCAACACTGCCCCCAAATTAAAACTCAACAATGAGTCACCTCCCTCATTGCAACTGGAGCATCTCAGTGACCTGGGGTTCAAGGCCCCCAGCATGTTGCTGTTCTGCCTTCACTGTCTTCACAGCCTGGCCCTGGGGGCTGCACATGGGGGCATGCACAGTGGAAGTATCCGAGGACTGGCAGTGGCTGCAGCTGGCACAGTGAGAACACTGCAAAACCCTTACACTAGGTTGGGGGTGTTTACTGCCACCAAGGCACCTGCTCATGGCACAAACCCATGGCGGCAGGGTGGGAGCCTGTGGCCCTGCTGTATCTGTTCCCAGCTGCAGAGACTGGTCCCTGAGACAGGGAAACAGAGCCCCATAGAATACTTAACTTGTGCCCAGCCTGTGCTGACCATACAGCAGCAACTGGCACAAGAGATACAGCCTGTGCCCATGTGAAATATTTTCAGTACGTTATTTTTAAAGAAAAGGCTAGAAGCGCCTGCTGGCAAATGCCAAGGTCCTTTGTTCCTGGTGCCAAAAAGTTTTAGTTAAAAAGTAGGAGAAAATGGTAAGCGACTGTGGTTGTGAGCTCACAGAGCAGACTGGCTCTCATAGGAGACACTGAGAAAACAGCAAAGGCTTCTGGTCTGTCCAGACAGAGGCAAAGGCTGAGCTCACCCAGCCCCATGCACGTATCTGGGCCTATGCTGCTCTCTGGAGACTAGCTCCTGGGTCTGCATGTCCCAAGCAGTCCCACACACAGTTGGTGATGCTAAGCCACAAGGCTTCTGACCTCAGCCCTGGCAGTGTGCGGTGCGTCCATGAGCCCATTCAGCTTCACTTACCTTTCCAGCTCTGGCCTGAACATGGGCACAGTGCAAGGCAAGGGTGCTGGGCAAGTCCACAGCGCAGTACCACCTTGATCACTCACAGCACTTGCCTTGCCTCGCACGAGATGCCAATAGGACCAGCCAGGCCAAGGCCTCCGAGGTAAGGCGAGGCCTGGGTACCAGGTTTGGCAGGCCCAACCCCTGATGAGGAGAAAGGCCAATGGTTCCCCAGGGACTTGGAGGGGGTGAGCTGATGCAACAGATAACAGGAGTGCGGGTGTATGCACACAAGTACATGCACACTTCCACAAATCTTACGGATAACAACCTCCATTTACCAGGGCTACTGAAACAAAGTCCCACAGCCCAGGTGATTTAACAACACAAATTTATTTCCTCAAATTCTGGAGACCGGAAGTCCGAGGTCAAGATGTGGCCAAGGCTGGCTCTCAGAGGCCTCATCTGGGACTGGCACGCAGCTGCTTGCTGTGTCCTCACACGGTGGTCCCCAAGCCTGGGCCTTGATCTCTTCCTAAGGCATGGGTCCTACTGGGGTGGAGCCTCCCAACCGCCTCACTCTGTGTCACTTACCTTTTCATGGCCAAGGACACAGCCATATGGGCTTGGGGCAGTGCGAACTACACATCTGTGCAGGGATAAAGTGTCGCAGCTCATGCCGTGGGATCAGAAAGGGGGCCCAGAGAGGTGCATGTGGAGCATGATGGGGAGTGAGCAGTGCTCTGGCAGAGAGCAGCAGGACAGAGAGAGAGCAAAGGCATCTCTGAGATGCCTTTCCCTGGTCTCAAACTGGAAACAATCCTCCTGCCTCAGCCTCCCAAGTGTGGGGGATCACAGGCAGGCACCACCATGGGAACTTCCCGGCATGCCTGCCCCACCCATGCAACCTTCTGTGCCTGGTCCCAGGCCAGAGACCCAAAACTCAAGCTTCTCCCCAGCCCTCCACCAGCACTGTCCACAGCTTTGTGGGCTTGAAAATGCCCATGTAGAGCTGGGGTGTAGCTCAGCGGTGAGACACTTAGCGGCCTCACAATCTCCAGTACCACCCCAAAAATCCCTAAGTCTGATCCAAAGAAGGAGAAAAGTGAGGAGGCCAAAAGTGAAAGACTGGAATGATGAAGACATGGTGTATATCAGCCAACTCCCCAAAGCGAGTATCACCATGGGCCCAAAATACACTAATTTTTTTTTTTTTTTTTTTTTTTTGGATGCAGCGTCTCCCTGTTCAGTTGAGGCTGTCCTTGAACTCACAGCAATCCCAAGTTCTGGGGTTATAGGTATATGCCATGAGGCCCAGCTGTAATACACTAATTTTTAAGTGTGCATTTAAGGACCAATCTGTAAGTTAACTGCTTGAAACTGTAAGTACTAATACTAAAACCACGGGGATGTGATCCCCCACACTTGGGAGGCTGAGGCAGGAAGATTGTTTCCAGTTTGAGACCAGGGAAAGGCATCTCAGAGATCCCCGTGGTTTTAGTATTGTCCCTAAAGTTAGCCTGGAACCTGAAGACACAGCCAGCTGGGAGGCAGAGTTACATACACACAAGCCTGCGGATGGGGAGAGCAAACACCTCACAGCTGGTTTTCACAGAAACACAGCCCTGTGTCACACACTCATTGCTCGCTGGGCCTTGACCCAGAGTGACCCCACAGGCCACCATGACACCATAAAGCCACTGTGTGCAATCCTCATAGCAGCCTAAGAACAGGGCCCACAGAGTACTCAGGCTGCCACACCCCATGGCCCAGCAAGATCCCCAGGAAGGGATCTTTCAAACCCCACCTGCCCTGGACCTGGTTTAAATCAGAACTTCATCCTTCCTAAAGTTCTCACCCAGTTAAAGGCCCTGAGGCAACACCAAATTTGGGGACAGAAGACACTTCCCCACCCCAGAGGGCTCCCCAGTGAGGTGCTCCAAGCAGCCCGTGCTCCCCAGCTCCCAGCGCTGACAGAGACCCGCAGGCTGGTGCCGGCGTAGAGATCTCCATGGCACCACCTGCATGGTGGCCTCTGGAAGGCCATGCCACCGCCCTGCAGTGAGGCTGCTGAGGCGTCTCTGCCAGTTCTGGGGGTCCTGACAGCACCAGCAGCAAGCACCTGAGAACCGCAGCCCAGGGCAGTGAGCGCCTGCGGGACGAGGAGGAAGGGCCCAGCCTCCAGGGAGCAGTGTGCCTGGGGCTACACGGAAGCCACTGCAGGAGGCAGGGTGGGCATAGCGCCTGGCAGCCCTGACCTTTAGCCTTGGCTGTCCCCACCCCAGCCAGCCCTACCTCCTCTACCTACCTGCACTCCTCCCGCTAAGGTCGCCACAGTCCCCTCGCAAGAAACCCCTCACTCTCTAGCACCTCAACAGCACCTGAGCGTGGTGATCTGCACACACAGGTGGCCTTGGGCTGCCGGACCCCTGGCCCCTGCCACCAGCGAACCCCATTTACTCCCCAAAGCCTTCCCTACCCGGCACTCATCACCCTGTGGAACTCTGCATGTGTCACCCAGGGCACATCAAGACTAAGGCTCATACACCTCTGCCCCAACCCCACACCAGGAAGCAAGGGTGTCTTGCACCCTCTAGGTACCTTCTCACGGCCTGGGTGCTGCCAGGTCTGTGATGGGTCCCTAGCTCCCCAGGAATGAAGTGGAACTCCCTGGTCAGGCACCTACCCAGCTGCACCGGAGAGGCATGGCCCGGCCTGAAGTAGCAGGCAACCTCTCAAGGCACAGCCACACATCGAGAGAGGACAGGGGGGCCCTGCCGCAGCTGGGTAGCAGAGGGTAGTGAGTCTGCATGTGGGGACACCAGCACCCCTGCTGGGGCAGCTCTGGTCAGCTGCTGGGGGTTCAGCCAGTAGGGTGAAGAGGGCACAGGTCAGGCCCACAGGCTTGAGCACAATACCAGCACCACCGCCACCTCTTTCTCCTCAGCTACCCCTGGGACCACCTTGTTCCCGAGGACCCTGCCCAAGGTGCCTGGTGTCTGGGGGCTCCACTGGAACTGCCACTAGCCCTGGAACTGCTACATGAAGCCAGGAAGGGCTGGGGAGCCATGCCCATGAGAACTGCCATTTATTCCCGAAGTTGCCAAAATCATCACCAAGGATTCACCAAGGGGTGAAAAGGGGAATGAGGCTCAAACACTGATTGGGGGCAATCTGGAGGGAGGAATGAATGGGGGACCCCAGCTGTCCTCCCCCTTATAATGCCACGGACAGGGGTCCTCCTTGGCTGCCCAGTCCCATGTCCAGTCTCTCAGGGGAGGTGAATGGGGATGTAGGAAAGGGGTGTAGTGTGAATGGGCCCGGGAGGGAGGGCACTGGGACGCCCCGATTCACATGCACTCACAACACTGATCTCAAGGACGGGGTAGAGCCTCGTCTCCCGCCAGGCCCCTCCCTCCCGGATTAGAGAAGGAAGGGGTTAGTGTTTGGCGCAGGGGGTCCAGGGGGCATCATGGGTGGCAGGCCAGGGCCCCCACCCAGGGGAGATATATAGGTGGGCGGTGCCCCAGGGACAGGGGGCACAGGACTGAGGCGGAGCTGATTCAGGGTGAGCGTCGCAGGGGGTGTGGGCTGAAAGGGGTTGGTGATTGAGGGGCCGGTGGCTGGGGCTCCTGTGGGGAGAGAAGATGGGAGAAGTGAGTGGGCACCACACCTTGGGGACATTCAGGCAGGCAAGGCGGGGACGCCTGCCCCCAGCTCACCACTTGGCAGGAAGGGATTCGAGGCCTTGGTTCCAGGTGGTGCAGGGCCCGGCCGGCTCACCAGGGAGTCCAGGTCCACGAGGGCTGCGTTGGGGCCCAGGAAGGACTCTGGGGTCTTCCGAGTTGGGGGCGTGGGGGCTGGGGCGGCTGCAGGTGGGGGGCTCCCCACAGCCTCGGCCAGGGAACCTCCGACCCCACTCATGTCAAAGGCCCCAGGGCTGCAGGCAGGCACCTCTCCTGCTAGCAGCTCCAGCTCACCTGGAAGGGGCAGGAGGGCTCGGGGTCAGAGAACAGAGGTGCCGGATACAGGACAGCCAGCTGCAGTTTCCAAGGGCCCCCATGCAGCTCACTGGTTGTGGGGCTCTAGAAAACTACAGGGGAGATACCACCCTGGGCTCAGGGACCTGCAGGCTATCAACCTCTGCTGGCTCAGGTGCTGACCTTTCAGCTGATGGGAGAAGTCTCAGGTGGCACAGGGAAGCAGGGGACAGGGAAACTGCAGGCCCACTGCTGGTCTGCGGAGAGGTGGGGCGCAGAGGCAGCAGAAAAGCTGCATCCACAGTGTGCCAACGGCACCTCCAGCAGTAACCCGTGTGTTCCAGGACGCCCAGGGACCAGCTGCCTTGGATACGTGCAGTTGCTGAGGGGGACTGGCCTGAGCAGCCTGAGTGGCGGGGCCCTGCCCGGCAGGAGGGGGTGGGCCAGATTTCCATCCTGCTGGAAAGGTTACCAAAGCCAGGAGGGTGAGTGGGACAAGAGGGTGCCTTGGACAGTCACACTCTGTGGGAATCGCTCCACCCCAAAGTACTTCGCTTCCACTAGCCGGTCCTCTCATCCTGACCCCAATCTCTCACCTGGAAGAGCCCAAGGGTCCAGCGGGGGGGGGGGGCGTTGGGGCTCACCAGTACTGCTCCCCGAAGCTGGCAGGGCCGTACGGAGTCGGTCAAAGTCTGAGAACTCATCAGGCTCTGTATCGAAGCCTCCGACCGCTGTAGGGTCCAGGGGGCTACTCAGTGCCCACTCAGTGCCCACCAGGCCACTGCCCCTCAGCCTCCAGAAGCAGAACCCTGAGGTCCACCCCTGCTCTGCCATCGGTACCTGCAGTGCCATTCGTGTTGGGCTTGGCAGGTGACCCTCCCCAGGGGTCTGAGAAGGCTGGCGCTGGCGCCCAGGGGTCCGAGGCTGGAGGTCCACTGATGGGGGCCCCAACTGGGTGAGGAAGGTAGTGTGAGGGGCTGGCAGTCTCTCCTCTTAGGACTCTGCCCCCAGAGGCCCCATGCCCTCCCAGGCACCTGATCAGGCCTCCCAGTGTCCAGACACCCCACTTCCTCAAGCGCCAGCACAGGGCTGCAGCAGGACAGGCACAGACTCACCCTCGGAGCCTCCCCATGGGTCTGGTGTGGGCCCCTCTCCGGCTGCAGGGGCTGGGGTCCCACCCCAGGGGTCCACTGAGGGCCCCGAGGAGGCAACAGGCCTCCAGGGGTCCCCAGAGGCCGGCGTGGGGGCCGGACCACCCCAAGGGTCAGCAGCTGGGGGAACAGTGGGTGTCCCCCAGGGGTCTGACGTGGGGGCAGCTGCAGGGACAGCAACCGTGATGGGTGCTGGGCCTGCCCAGGGGTCCGAAGCTGGCGCAGGAGCCGGGGCAGAGAAGACATCAGCGAGGTCCATGAGAGACGACTTGGGGAGAGAGCGGGAAGCAGTATCAAGACACAGCCTGTGACAACCATGGGTACCTAGGTGGCTACACAGGGCTGGGCCAGTCCTGGGAGACTGAACACCACAGTCCTCTACCCTGTCGCCAAGTCCATCCACCACCCACAGCCCAGCCCCACCATCAAAGCCCTCACCCCAGGGCGCAGCATCCAGCATGACTCTCACACAGCTCAGAGCCCCGCCTCTGAGACGGCAGAAGCCCACCCCAGGCCCAGCCCTCAGCACCGAGCCATGCCCCACAGGGAGAAGCACGGCCACTGAGAAACATCCCTGTGGCCAGCACAGTGGTGCATGTCCATAATCCCAGCACTAAGGAGGATGAGGCAGGAGGACTAAAAGCTCAAACTGTTTCTGGGCAACTTAAGAGAGATCCAGTCTCAAAACCAAACAACAGGTGCTGACGATATAGCTTAGGGTGAGTGCCCTGCGTTCCACCCCCAGGACAAATTTAAAAGGCCAGCCAGCAGCCTCACTGGTTGACCTTGGGCCCACCTGCCCTTGGGGTGCAAGCAGCACCCACAGCACCCAGAAAACACCTAGAGCCCATGGAGGCCAGGGGGCAGCCAGCCAAGGAACAGCCAGGCCCTGAGCCCTGAGCCCCAGTAAAGCACACCACAGAGGCCAGGGGCATGGGACGCCTACTGCAGAGGCGGGATGGAGGGAGCCACTTACCTCCTCCTTGCCCCCCGTCTCCCGCTTGCTCTCCTCAATGGCCATCTGCAGCCTCAGGTCATCTCCCCGCCGGATCCGCTCCTCCTGCAGGCCGGAAGCAGTGGCAGCACCAGGCTGAGCACAGGGCCAGGGCCCTTGCACTGCGCCACCACCAGCTTCCAACCACAGTGACTGACATTGATATGAGGTGGGCAAGTGAACCAGAATGAATAAGATGGGGATGCCCAGGGTGGTATGGGGTGGGAGTGGCAGGAGGCACAGGGTGGGGCAACATGGGCACCATGAGGACCAGGAGGGCGGGCCATCTAGGGGCACATGACACTGGGCCCTCTGTGCTGCCCAGGCTCCGGCAGTTCCTGCAGCCCTGGGTACTGAGGGCCACTGTGGGGGAGGGACCACAGGGACAGCAGGGAGGCCACGCTGACCTTATCGTGTTCCTCTCGGCTCAAACTAAGGGCCAGCTGGAGCTGGACATCATCCTCGGGGCCGCAGGACGGCGGCTGAGGGAAGAGTGTAAGGGGTGGGAGAGGGTCAGCTGGAGCCACTGCCGGCAAATGGGGAAAGACAGAGACAGAGCAAGAGCAAGAGAGAGCGAGAGCAAAAGCGAGAGAGAGAGAGAGCAAGAAAGACAGGGGCACAGGGCCCGAGAGGGGGGCCACAGCCCCCAAATTCAGGGGGACCAGCAGAGACGGAGGCGAGGGGACAGAGGACCAGAGAGCCAGGGCCCAGAGAGCAGGGAAGCGGCATGAAGACGAGGTGATGAACAAGGCATGGAGACAACATGGCAGGACCACCTGGGCCTACGCTGCTTTGGTACCTGGTCGGCCTCTTCCTTGCTCATGGCCAGGGCCAGCTGTAGCTGCAGCTCCTCCTCCCCGCTGCTCTGCGGCCAGGCCTGCTCCGCCTCAGGTGGGGGCCCCGAGCCCACGGCTGCCGAGGAGGCTAGGGGTGAGGGGAGACCGTGAGACAGAAAATGGGAAGCACAAGGCCACCTAGGGTAGGGTTAGGTGACACTGTGGGGACACAGGGAAGCCCCACCCAGACTGAGCCCTTGTACCCCGGGCAACAAGGAGGTGAAAGCTCCCTGCACGGTCCAGGAGGCCTGGGTTCCAGCAGGGGGAGGACAGCAGCTGTCCAGACTGTGGGACCCAGGCTCCAGCAGAAAGCAACAGGGTGGACAAAGAGCCTCTTGGGTCCTGCAGCAGAGAAACGACAGCAGGTCCATGGGAGCCAGGCTGCCTCTGGGGCCAGCAGGAGGGAGAAGTCTACCAGGGCCCAGGAGGGCTGAGTGCTTGCCTCTGAATAGCACCTCTCAACACCCCTCCAGGGACATCCTACACTGCCCAGGCCCTGCGCAGAGTTTGTAGGGAGCGACATATCTCACTGCTGCCACTTTATCTCACCCTCCTGTGGGCCTCTGCCGTGTCCGCCTACATTTCCCATGATCCTCATGTCTGCCTACATTATCCATAATCCTCTCCTGCTTACGTCATATATGCGGATGTGACGGTGACCTATCAGATAACACTCTGTGCCCTCTTCCTGCTCCATTGGCCCACCTCCACCCTATATAAGTGGTAGCCATTTTAAGAATAAATGAGACTTGAATGAAATCCCGCCTTGTCTCCATCTCTCTTTTCTCTTGCCCAGCCCCCCCATCCCCGTCCCCTATCCAGGCGAGGACCACGGCCTTGATCTGCAGGCTGGATCAAGTGGCGCCCAATTTGGGGCTCAACCTGGCACGAGGGATAACGACGCGGGACCGTTCATGAGAGTAAAGCGCTGGCCAGCGTGACCAAATCAAGGGCTTTGTCCCTGTGATCCATGCAGATGGCCACCTTACATCTCACCTAAATCACGGTAGGTAAACGGATCTTATCTCTCTACTGGCATGGGGCAAGCACTGAGTAAACACAAATTGTTTGTCCACAGCCTCAGGGAGGCACTCAAGATTAGAGGGATCAAGGTCAAGACTAAAGACTTGCTTCAGTACTTTCAGTTTATACATTCAGTGTGTCCATGGTGGCTTTACAAGCATCTCTGACATCTTTATCTGAGGTAGTCCTACAAAATAAAAGAGGACTAGACCTCCTATTTATGAAGGAGGGTGGCTTATGTGCTGCTCTCAAAGAAAAATGCTGTTTTTATGCCGACCACTCAGGAGTCATCAGAGTCCATGACTAAACTAAGAGAGCGCCTCAAAGAGAGAAAAAGGAGTGCCTCGGAGAAATGACCTTCTCTTCCATGTGGGGGAGTCTCTTCCCTTACATTGCCCCCCTCTTGGGACCCCTGGCTGCTTTATTGCTACTCCTTACTGTAGGCCCTTGTATTTTCCAGAGGATCATTTCACTCCTTAATAACAGGATTGACGCATTTATGGCAAAGCCCATTCAAGTACATTACCATCAATTGGAGATGACAAAACAACAAACTTATCGGGAAAAAACATCTACCACTGGTCCACATAATGATGTGGCCCCAATGCCCTGAGGCACTGGACAGGCAGCCAGAGACAGACAACTAGGACACATATGTTACGCCATCTACCACCTAAGACAGGCACAGGACCAACTGCTGTCCTGCAGGCCCACGATGGGTAAGGCTCGATTGGGTACATATGAAGAGTCCTTGACCCAAGACAGGCGCTGTCCTCACAGGACCTGCCATACTCCTAAAAAATATAATAAAAAGGGAGGAGATGTAGGGAGCGGCATATCTCACTGCTGCCACCTTATCTCGCCCTCCTGCAGGCCTCTGCTGTGTCCGCCTACATTTCCCATGATCCTCATGTCTGCCTACATTACCCATAATCCTCTCCTGCTTACATCATATATCCGGATATGACGATGACCTATCAGATAACACTCCATGCCCTCTTCCTGCCCCATTGGCCCACCTCCACCCTATATAAGTTGTAGCCATTTTAAGAATAAACGAGAACTGAATAAAATCCCACCTTGTCTCCATCTCTCTTTTCTCTTGCCCAGCCCCCCATTCCTGTCCCCTCTCCAGGCGAGGACCATGGCCTTGATCCACGGGCCGGATCAAGGGTAGGCCCCCCCTTCTGCCCCACCTCCCTACAGCACATTGGGCTCGGACCTGGCTTCTGGGCTCCCCAGGTCCTAGGCTACACCCAGCCAGGTCAGCCCTGGGCATGTGCAGGCAAATGCTGGGACTAAGGCCCCTCTGCACATCTTGAGGCCCTAACCATGCCAACCCTTCAAGTCCCTGTCCCTATCCCCTCAAGTGGGGAGCAGTTGCAGATGGAAACCCATCACATGTGCAGGGCTGGAGCACAGCTGTCTCAGGAACAAAAAGTGTCTAGGGAAGCCATGGACAACAAGCCCCTAGACAATCCACACAGTGGGCTGCAAGACAGTAGGGTACCATGAGACACTAACATGTTGCTGAATGTATAAACAAACACTCCTACAGCAAGCGGTAGTTCCTGCCCTCCCACCTGGAGAGAGGGTTCCACCAGACTCAGGCTTGCTGAGTCTCATCTCTCCTTCTGCACCTTCTTGCTGCTCTTCATGGTCCTCACCCCAGGAACCTCAAGCCCGTGCAGGTGGCAGCAAATGGCAGCTGACCAGGCGCTCAGGGTAGGAGGGGTAGGTCGGTTAACAGGTGAGGACGCCTCCCTCCAGGGCATGCAGAAAAGGGAGGGAGGCCTTTCCAGGCCATCAGTATCATCAATATTGTGTACTGATATTCTCAATACTGAGTCCAGTACTGAGCCCAGATCAGGTGTAAAACATGCGACAAACAGGTTCTCACAAAGCACAGAAAGCTACAGAAATGTCTGCTGCATGCTTGATTCCAATATTTACATTCCTTCTGTGGCCTGGATTAGATTAATAATCCTAAATTTGTTGAGACAACCACAAAAGAGTTGGCTTCAGGAATTATTTTAAAACTAAGTCCTGAGCAGGACAAAGAAGGTGGAAGCACAGAAACCCCTCCTCTGGCTTTGCTCAGTTAGATGAGGCAGGAGTGGTGGAGGAGAGAGGGGTCTTTCCCCTCGGCTCAGGTAAGTGCTGCTGCAGCACACTTGGGAACCTCCCTTCTGGGGAGCAGAGCCGGTTTCTCTGTCTCCCTTGTAAGTGGCACTAAGTGAGGCCGTATGGGTGAGGAGTCCATGGAGGGTTTCTCAGTGACAGAACTTCAAGCTGCTGATAACCTGGGACAAGTTACACGTAGTCATGAAGCGGTGACTTTTTTTTTTTTGAGACAGGGTTTCACTATGCAGTTCAGACTGGCCTTGAACTCACTGCATAGCCCAGGCTTGCCTCGAACTCACAGCAACCCTCCTGCCTCAGCCTCCCATATGCTAAGATTACAGGTGTGAGCTACTATGCCTTGCATTGAAGTGGTACCTTTCACGTCACTGAAAGAATTAAAACATACTACCAATAACTATGATCCTCAGCTCCATTACCTTGGGTTTCACAGAGCTCCTAGGACATGATTGGAAAGGCGTAGCTAAAACATGTTTAAATCCAAGGGAATATTTGTTGTGGAAAGGAATTTTTTTGAATTGTGCACAGACCAGGCCACCGCAATACTGCTCAGAACATAGCTATTACAATAGATATGTTGATTGGGAAAGGTGTCTTTGCTGCTACTGGCAGACAGCTTGCTTTTGACATACAAGTATTTGAGCAAGTTAGGTATTTGAGCAAGTTAGAATAGCAGCCAGGAGAGCCTGGAGGCAGCTCCCTTTGAGGAGTGCGACCTCCCTGGATTTGACTTCTGTTCCTCAGAGTCCAGAGGAACCATTTCAGGATTTGGCAGCATGCTTACTGCGAGCCAGTGAGAGAATTCTAAGTGACAAAGAAGCCAGTAAGTTAACAGTTCCACAGCTGGCTTTTGAAAACACAAACAAATGGTGTAAAGAAGCCTTAAGAGCCCACAAAGAGCCCATCTCAGTGCTACATTGAGATGATCCGGTCCCTTGTAAATACAGGTATTGCCCTAGGAGCAGCTCTCACTGGGGTCATTAGCCCATGGCCTAAAGGGAAGGGGGAGAACAAGGCTGCTTGGTTTTGTTGTGGGGGGACACTTTGAGGTGGCTCTGCTGCACCTTTAGGGCAGCACAACAACTACCTGTCCCTCCAGCAAAGCCCTCTTCTCTCTGTGCACAGTGTAGATGAGATATCCTGGGCCACTCGATGTAGACTCAGAACTAATGTGGAAGGCCTGCCTGTTCCAGAAAAGTCCAATCAGGGCCTGCAACAGCCTGGCCAAGGAGATGCCTGGCCCAGCTCTGCACGGCAGACTTCTAGTAGCTAAGGTGATATGGTCCTTATTTGTGGTTTGCTGATTTTTGTTTACAAAATACTCTCACAAAAGACAATTTCAAATAATTAACGTGACAACTAACCCATGAAACTTCTAAACATTCAGTACGAGCTGATAATAGGCTGGTTCTAGCATATCACTGTCTCACTACGGCTTTGCAGTGGGATATCTGATAGTGTAAATTCTCAAACTTGTTTATTTCAGGGGTACTTGCCCCAAATTCATGATCTATGTAACTATGTTTATTTAGGTCCTTTTTGCTTTCTTATACCAAATTTTTACTTCTCAATACACTGACACTACATAGCTTGCTAAATTTCTTGAGTTTGTTTCTAGAAGAAGAAACTATAAATTCACACATTGGGAAGAAATGGGAAAACAGCACAGAGCAAGGCAGGGAAAAAACAAACCCACACAAGTCTATCTGGACTGATACAGATTTTAAAGGGGTACTGAACAGGAGAAACACTGCTTTCTGATCCTCTCACCACTTTGCACAGGTCTCCCCCAGGACAGGGAACCAGGGAGCTCCACTGAGCCTGCAGTTAGACCCAGACCAAGACAATGGAGAAACAATGTTGCTTGTTTCAGCTACAAGGGCAAAAGGATGATTCTAAGATAACATACTGCTGACAGACTTAATACTGGTTCTCAAGGATTGCTAACCCAGTCACGTCCAAGTTGGAACATATTAGAAATGAGCAGGTCATATTAGAAATGAGCAAACTGGTTTAAAGCAGTGTATCTGGCTGCCAAGTTGATGACAGTGGATGGAATAGTTGATACATTGTGTCAACTTGAAGCTGCAGTCTCTTTGTAGAGGCTGAGGTCCCTGGGCTATAAATATTCTTGTACTGTGCAGGAGGGCAGGGAGATGGGCACCCACCCTTGGGGAGCCTGCCTAGCATACCCTCTTCTGTACCTGCTGCTCCCTCAGCTGCCACCCACAGGCCTCTGCCTCCCCAGTCACACACCATCAGGACGCTTCTGCCTGGCCCACAGCCCATCTCAGTGGAGAACAGGCCAGACTGACTGTGAGCTGCTTCTGTGTGACACCAGTTCCGCAGGTCACACGTCCATCCCTCTGGCAGACAGGTATCACTCACACTCCCAAGTTTGGCTCTCTGTGCTGGGCCACATTCCAGTGGACACCTTCTCAGGATTTCTCTCTGCTCCTGCTCGCTCTGGGGAAGCGGCCAAGCATGCCATCACTCACCACCTGGACTCCTTTCATGCACGTGGCTGCCCACGGGCACTTAAGACTGACAACAGCCCAGTCTACACGAGTGCTACCTTTCACATGTTCTGCAAAACTTTTCATGTGTCTCTCACCACAGAAATTCCTTGTGATCCGCAGGTCTAAAAACCATTAAATATACTCACAATTTAAATTACAAAACAAAAGGGTGGGCTCACCTCATAACAGACTTAACTGAGCAGTATACACTACTAACTTTTTTTTTTGTCTTTTTCTTTTTAATCGGTACCAGGGATCGAACTCACGACCGCCTGCTTGCAAGGCAGGTGCTTATGCTGCTGAGCTAAATCCCCAGCCCTCTATACTACTAACTTTTTAATTCTACTAAGGGTGCTAGAAGTGAATCCAGGCCTAACTACAGAAAGCAGCAGAAAGACAACTGAATCAGGTAGAAAAAAAAAGGCTTAGGAGAGGTCCTTTGGAAGCATCTTCATACTAGACAGTAAAAGGTCCCAGTCTGCTACTCACTTGGGGTTGAGAATATGCCTGTGTTTTCCTAGGAAATGCTGAGTGGCCCAGCTGGGTGCCAGAGCATGTTGCCTACCTGCGCCACAGGCCCAAAGCAGAGAAGGAGTAGACTCCACCCCTCAAGAAGCAGACACAGAGTCCTACAACACTGATGCCTCGGAGACCACGCCACAGGTGACAGACAAGAATGAAGCCACACGCAATCTTAACTGACCAGAATGGCCAGAAGATGGTAACCAAAAATAAAACCAAAGATCTAAAAAGATGATAGGGTGCATGCTCAGTCCTACAACAAAAACATGTTGATTATAGATAAGATTTTGTCCTTGGCAAATTCTTTTTACAAGAGATCTCTGCTAAATGACCTCCAACAAATCTAACTAGTCTACTTATAGTTACAAATTCTACAACCGTAAAACTGACTGTAACTCAATTTGACTAAAACACAAATGTGCACTCTGACTTTCTAAGATGTTTGTCTGCCTGTCCTGTGTGTCTTGCCTGTCCAGTCAGTGAAGCTGCTCTTGGGAGCTGCTAAGCTAGTGACTGCTCACATGCAGAGCCTAAAGCACAAGTGCCCATACAGGAGGGACCAGGAGCACGGAGCACCTGAGAAACATTGGGCATGGGGTGCTAGAGTGGACTCAGGGCATGAGAAGTGGGCTATTCAGCAAAGGGACATCATAGAAGGGTATAAGTAGCCCCCAGAAACTTAGAAAGTACTTGTGGACCCTGACAAGCTGTGTGCTTGTTTCTGTGTCTGTTCCAATTTGTACAGATCATCTGTCCATATCTGTCTATTAGTCCATTCTGTGAACAGATGTTCTTTTTACTTGAGTTCAATATTTTTTTCTCTTTTCTTTTGCATTTTTGGATCATTTAATCATTTAAAGGTTTGTGGTTTTTTTGACACAGGGACTCAAACTCACGACCTTACACTTGCAAGGCAGGCGTTGTGCTGCTGATCTATATCCCTAATCAAAGTTTAATTTGGGTCATATATTTATAAAGTATGATTCCACCTGGGTTGTCAGCTGGGTCAAAATGATGCTTAAATTGATTGTGTAAATGTCATGTATATTATTATGAACTTAAGGATGTCTCGTTGTTTAAAAATGAATGGGTTAAATGTTATAACTGGGTTTTTCGTAAGACATTTAAAAATTACTAAAATGATTAAGCAAAAACCCCTTGGGGTCAGGGGGAATTACTGGATAGGACTCCCGCTGATGAATAAGAAATCAGCTACCGAGTAACCTTAGCCAGTCCTTGTTCACTGATCAGAGACCCAGTGATCTCTCTAGCCTTACGAGATACGCTCCAATAACTGTTACTAGAAATATATCACCGTGGTGTGTTCACATTGGTCATCATCAAAAGATTAAATTTTCCAGATAATAAGGTTTTTCATTTAAAGATATCCGTACAAATGTTTCCAAATGACTATGACAAACTGTTATTAACCTCACAGTATATTAAATATTTCAGGCTTCCAGATGTACAGGTTTCCCAAAATGTAAAACAGGGACTAAAGTTTATGGTGACAGCATTTTGTTTCAGATCAGATCTCAGCCTGCAACAAATACTTAGGAGATATACATTCCACTACCAGTCAGCAAGTTAGGGAAGTGTTCAGTATTAGGAATGACTGACTAAAAGGAAATATTTGATGTCAAAATGGAAATTCAGGTGTGTTACAAAATCTCATCACGACTGTCATGCTGTAATGTTGTATATAGGTTTGATTTCTAATTTTCTGTGTAAAATATGCAACTGTTTGTTAACACTCTACAGGTGTTAAAACACTCATGGTTGTTGAAAAATAATGGTTCTATTTTATATTCTAAGGTGTTTCATATTTAGGTAAGATAATAATGTCAAGCTTACTGCCCCTGTACTGGTATCAATCTTTTCTTCTGGATGTTCAACAATTGAGGGTTAGAGGCCAAAAAAACATTAGGTAAATAGACTAGGAGAATAGCCAGTAGTCTAGTTCCGGCTCTTTGAGGTCTATGAGGACCCAGGACCTGGGAACCTTTGCTGTCATCCAATAAGTCAGTGTATCCCTGGTCTTCTGATCAAGATTATCAGGCCACAGAGAAAGTGACCATGGGTGTGTAGTGTGCCTAAGGAGAGTCACCAGGAAGAAAAACTTCTCATGCCTACACAGAAGGCAACTTGGTCAAGCAGCAGTGGTGACTCATCCAGACAGCTGGCAGTGACGGAAGAGCTAAGACCTAACAGATCTTGACAGATAGCAGTTAATACAGATCTCCCCTTAACTTGGTCTTGACACCCTACAGAAAAAGTACAACTACTAGAGGTACATCAAACAACCCCACGGTAAAGGTCAGCTATAGAAGAAGCGCCAATCAGTAACGCCTCTGACAACTCCCAGCCACACTAACAATTGTCCACTGTTACGGATTAACGGACTGCTCAGGTTTTTAATTGCTCATGTGGAATGCAGAGACTTAAAATCCTTGAACTGCATTTAAAATGAAAATGGTTCAAAAATAAAAAGGCCTCCTACAGAGTTCTTCAAACACAGCTCCTCCAGCTTCAACTGACCACCTACCCTGTGCTTCAACAAAACAAAAAGAGATGGGTATGTTGGGAGCCACTGAAGCTGGAAACTGATTACACATGCTGGGCTGGGGAATGGCCACCCCAAGAACAAAGAGCACCTGGAAAAGCCATAAGAAGCTGCATCAGCCCAGAAAAACACCTAGCCCCTAGAAAATCCAGGCAATGAGTCAATAGGCAAAGGGGTACCATGTGACATTCAGTTCTTAAATATATAAATAACCCCCCCTGCAGTGAGGGGGCAGTTCCTGTCCTGCCATCCGGAGAGAGGGCTCCACTGACCCTGACTTTCCTAGTCTTCACCCCAGGAACTTCAAGTGCCACACGAGTTGTGGTATCCATGGGACTCCTGTGGGTCCTCGAAGATTGCACTAGGACGGGGACCAGGAGACTACAGCCCATGGCCAAGGCCTTATGTCTACATTTTATACGGCTGGGAAAGAAACAGAATAGGAGCGTGTTAAGACACGTGAAGCCACACAGAGAACTTCAGGGACCGAGTAGGCATGTGCAGGGCATGGCAGGGCTCACTCTTGTGGCTGGGGGTGCCTGCCACGACCCTGGGGTCTTTGCTCCCAGGTCTTCAACCGATACAGCAGCTCCCCAGAAGCCAAGCAGGGACCCCACATACCACTGGTGCAGTCTCTGTGCGGGAGCCAGTAGTGGCCCCACACATGCCATACTGAAGCAGCCTCTGGCGTCACAACCCCCCCTCCTTCCTTCCACCTTGATCACACCTCAGGCTGACCCCACAGCTCCCTTCCCACCATCGGTTCCTAGGGTGATAGGCATGTCCCTGCATGGGCCAGGACCTGCGGGCCTGGATGACAAAGCAGGCTCCCAGACAGACCAATGCCTTGCAGCAGGGATCTGTGCAGATCTGCCCCTCCCTCTACTGAGGCTGTATTTTTTTAAACACAGGTCACCAATCCCAAGCTGCATCCACCACTTGGGAACAAAGCCCTTAGAAACCAGACCTAAAGACTTTGAGGACCCTGACAGAGCCACCAGCCCTCACCAGGTTGCTGGCCTCTGGCCCATCCCCTTCTGGAAAGACCCTGGCCCGCAAGCTCCCCAAGGCCCAGTGCAGCACTCCACACAGTCTCAGGTGGGAACACTGGCCTAAGCTCTCACACACCAGCCCTGACAGGGCAGCAGGGGCAGCCAGGCCATAGGAAAGACTGTACCTGTGGCTGTCTGTGCCAGCTTCTCCTTGGTCTTGAGTGCATGGGCTCGCTCCTCCCGCAGCCGGTCCTCATCCCGCAGCAGGGCTACCAGCTGCTTGGCCTTCTCACGCACGTTCACGCCCTGGTCCTTGCCATCTCGGTCCACGTACTGGAAGTCCTTCAGCGTCTGCACGGCGTACATGTTCTCCTTGCACTGCTGTGACACTCGCTCCGAGCCCGTCTTGATAAGGTATTCCATCAGTGTCATGGCCTGCGGGCAGGGACACGCCCATCACTCGGCTACCCTGGGTTCAGTGCCACCACCCACTCTGCCCTGTCCACAGCAGAATCCCCATACAGTGCTCAGACAGACCCTGGTGTGGAGGGCCACCCAGCAAGTGTCCAGAACAGGTGAACCCCCAGGAAGAGCATGAGAACTGTCACCAGACAGGCAGACTATCGATTAGGGTACTTGTGGGCATGGACTTTGCCTGTGCTTCTAGACAGAGGTGGGGTCACCGGCACAGCAAGTGGTCCAGATGCTGCTGGACTATTACCCTGAGAGGGCAGCCAGCCAGCAGGAGAGCTCTCCTATCTCAGCAGGCACCAGGAGGCCATGGCAGCTGTCAGCAACCTGCTCGTGTCCTTCTGAGTTACTCTGGCCCAGTCGCTTTGCTTCTGTCTGCTCCCAAGTGTGAGACACACCACTGCTCTTGGGTCACAGCTCACAAGGAGCCAGAGTCCCAGGATGATGTGGCACCATTGCCCACCTGGGCAGGGACTCAAGGATGCTGCCAGGGGATCCCCTCCCTGATGGGCTCCGGACCAGCCCGGGCCAAGGCCCCATATCCGGAGCAGGTGCAGGGCTACGGCTCTCAGACTGCAGAAGGCCCTGGCCACTATCCCAGAGAAAGGCACACTGGGGTCCTGCAGAGGATGGCAGGGCTCCCAGGGATTGGGGGCAAGGGCAGGGGCAGGAGCAGGCTTGGCAAGGCTCTCCTCAGCATGTGAGGAGGGCTACATCAGGAACCTGAGGCTGGACTAACTGGCCCTGCAAGGGCTTCCACGAACAAGTAGACAGGAAAAGCACAGCCCTTTCCCCATGCCATCACACCCAGGAGAGGCAGAGACAGGCCCCATGAGAGTCTGGCACACGGCAAAGGGAGGCCAAGGTCACGCACACAGGACCAGCTGCACCTTGGCCCCACCTCGGGTGCACGGGTTGAGCACCAGATGGATTCTGAGGAAGTTCTGTTCTCAGAGTGCTCTGGACTTTGGAGCTGCTGTTCCAGGGGACCTGGAAATAGCCCAATACCACCCACAGGGGACCGAATCCAGAAACCAGCATGCACACAGCGGCTGCCATCTCCGCAGCCAAGAGAAACAGGCGGCAGCAAGCAGTGGCGACCTGCAGCCCCCAGGTCACTGCTGGCCTGGACAGAGACAGAGAAGTGACCAGGACCAAAGCCCCCTGACAATGCCCCACGGACAAAGCCCCAGATGTTCTGAAGGAATCCCCCCACCCACACTTGGGGTGAGGCCTGCCCATCACCAAGCTCTTTAAAAACCAAAACCTGGAGAAGCTGGTGAGTCCCGTTCACTCCCCAGCTCTGTCCCTGCCACCCTGGCACAGCACAGGCAATGTTTAAAACAGATCAGCACGTTTACCGTCATGGGCCAGGTGATAGATACTTTGGTCTCTCCGCCCACACAGCCTCTGCCTTGACTATTCAGCCTGGCTGTGTTCCAATAAACCTTTATTTACAAAAGCAGACAGACAGGATTGGTCCATGGCCTAGAGTTTGCTGACCTATGTTTCAAGATAAAACCAGGGGCCACAGTCCCTAGAGAAACCAGGCGAGGGCCCAAGGTCAAAAGGGTTCCTGGGGCTGTACCCCAGCTGCACCACAGGAGTCCTAAGCCACCTTGGTGCCTCCTCCCTAGACACCAACAGAAACAGGGCAAGCACCTCCTTGAGGGGATGGCGACTAGGCCGAGATGCTGTGTCCCTGCCACTCACTTTAGGGGTGGGGGCTGTGGCAGTCAGAAGCCACGGCAGCCACAGACCCAGCAGTCCTGAGCCTGTCCCACACAGCAGTAGCCCCCCATAGCAGCCCCCCAGGGCTCTGCAAGGATTCAGATTCAGCTGGAGTGAGCAGGACCAAAGCCACAGCCAAGCCCAGGCAGCAGCAGGGTACCAAGTGAACCAAGAAGGAAAGAACCGCAAAGGCTCACAGGAGACTAGGCGGCCTGCCCTCGAAGATGCTACACAATACGCATCTCGGAACTCACAGGATGGCACCTAGAAAGCAGACTTCACCACAGACAAGTTTTATCTCGTCAATCTACCTTTCAAAAGGAAAGGGCTAGTAGAGTCAGCTGGGCCCGACCAAGGCCACAGGACCACCCACAGACCCTGCTCCACGGCTCCGAGCCTCTCCCTGCACCGGTAGCCTGGCCCTCCCTACAGGAGCTGCCTCCTACCGTCACGCAGGACCACCTGCAAGGAGGCAGGGACGTAGGGGATGCAAGGTGCAGCCCAGCATGGACCCTCCATTTCCCTCTGAAGCAACCCAGCCCACCTAGCCCTGCCCTCTCTGGTCACTTCCCTGCCCTGTGTGCCACCATCATAGCACACTACTGGCCACCTGTTGTCCTCCGCTATCCTTCACCCCAGACTGCCAGTCTCCAAGGTCTGCTCTCAGGACCCTTGGGACCCTCAGCCCCACTCCCTGCCCACCCTGGCCCCGTGAGGGCCATTCCCACGGATTCTCCAGTTCTCAGCAGGACTAACAGCGGCCAGTTCCTCACGGAGTGACCTGCACCTGCCTCAGCCGTGCTGTGAGTCAGTCTTGGCCTGCCCTGCTTGTGGGATGGGAGTAAACGGCCTCCATTCCTATGCCTGCTCACAGGAGGTGCCCTTTGGGTGCCATTTCTGCTTCCAAAGCAAAGGGACCACCCCACCTTGGTGGGCAGTCTCTGGGGTCAGCCAGCACAGGAAGCAGGGAGGGCAGGCCATTCCCAGCCACCCCAGAGACAGAAGAGAGACAGAGGAGAGCCCTGCACAGCCACCAACCCTGAGGTGCACACCTCAAGGCCCACACCAGCAGGGACAGGGTAACCATCCTGGGCTGCATTCACCAATCGACCCCACACACCCTACAGTGCTACACCTTAAGCTTGAGAACAGCAGGCATACACAGACTGCCACAGTGGCCTGCCATGAAAAAGGGCAACATTGCAAAGCCCTTGGACAGAGCAATCACCCGGAACCAATGACCAATGAGGGGCAATGACCGCCTTGTAGGGGATGCCCTGCAGCTGTGAATGGGAAGGCGACATGACTGACCTAAGGGAAGGCTGGCTTTCCCTGTGTGACCAGGGTCTCATCACACTGGAGAAACTACTCTTTAATCACCAGCCTGAGCATGATCACATCCTAGGTCTGACAGTACCCTTGGCAACCGAGACTCAGAAGGCAGGCAGCAAGCTCCACCACCTGAGCTGCTGCAGGCACAGCCTTTGCCTGGACTCCTCTTGGCGCCTGGGACAAGGCGCTGGAGATCCCTACAGCCCCGAGGCACCTCTCAGGGTCACAGTGGCCTGCGGGAACAGGGGCTCAGCTGCTATGAGGAGACAGCATCCTGGTACCGATAGACAGGCACCCAGAGGGCACTAATCCACCATGAGACCACACATTCCAAGACCCCAAGCGAACGCACTGGACTCCTGCTGATGCCCCCCAGCTTGGGAAGATGTAGCCCATCATGGTCCATGGAGCACACCTTCGTTCTGGTCCTTGACCCCTCGAACAGCAAGGGCACTGGGCCAGATTCCCCAAGTAAGGAGTGCCATCAGCATGTGCTAAGACACTGGTGGCAAACCTGATGCACACACATGACTTGTTTCTGAGACCAGAGATATTCATGTGTGAGTTGTCCCTTCTAATCTAAAGCCTTGGCATTCAGGGTCGCTGTAGTGTCGGTGCCTGGCCATAGCTCAGCAGTTCTGGGTGTTCATCTCGCCATCACTGATTCAAAGCACAGGGAGAACGTGCTGAGTGTTGCCCCTTGTGTTTGACCTGGTGAGTGCAGGGACCAGGAGCCACTGCCAATTGGACAACACAAGGTGGATGACGCCACCAGTCGCCTTTGGGACTCTGCATGCGAGTGCAGGGCCTCTGACTGCAACGGGACACTGCCTACGGTGGGCCCTGCCATCCAGCGCTCACCTTGTAGACATGCCGCCAGTTCTTGCCATGGTCATTGAGCCGCTTCCAGATCATGCTCATGATCTCCGAGAAGGCTACCACATTGTAAGTGAGGTCTGCAATTTCTGACATGAGGGAGCTGGATGGGCCCCAGGGGTCATTGCTGGTGGCCTCTCGGACCTTGATCTCCGCCTCCGAGTAGTTGTGGACGATGTTCTTCATCTGGCGCCGGAGTGATGAGGTCGACATGGCGCTGGGTGGTACAGCGCAGGGGCACAGGTCCCCCGGGACATCAACGGATACAGCAACCTGCAGAGGCCAGTTGCACGAGGTGTTGGCAAATCACCACATCTGCAGGCCAAGAAGGGAGAGAAGGTCTTTGGAGACACAAAGGAGATGCAGGCTGGCCAGCACAAAGGACAGATGCTGACAGTGGCCTGGAAGGTGTGGTCCCTTGCTAACCTCCACTTAAAAACCACCCCACCCACCTTTCAGTTCCTCAAATGTGCCTGGCCCCTTCCTGCTCAGGCCCCTGCTCGTCGAGGCAGAACAGGCAGCAGCATGGGCACAGGCATCCACCTCAGCTCAGCTACTCCTTAGCTGGACTGACCACAGTGGGCTCCAGCTTTTACACCTTGGCTTTCTCTATCAAATGAGGTCGTGCACAACAATTCAGGGAACTGAGGAACTGGCAAACAGGAGGCAGGCTGTGAGGCCTGGCCGGCCACGTCACCAGACTGCCTCGGCCTCGGCAACTCTTACTATTGCTCCACTTGAGTCTGCTCAACGTGCACCATCGCTGGGGGCCATACCTGCAGAGCCCATCACCCTCATGACTTCAGACTCACGTGTCTGATTCTGTAGCCCAGGCTGACCCACAGCCCCACGAGAGCAGAAACCCCACGTGTCTGGATATGACTCTTCCCTATAGAGCAGCTGGCCAGGAAAGCCACAGAGAAATGCTGCAGGAAGCAAGACAAGGAAAACGGGGGTGGGGGGTGGGGGTGTCCATGGCAGAACAAGGACACCAAGGACAGCAAGCCAGTGAAGGCACTAAAGAGACAGCAGCAAGACAAGAAGCCATTGCAGGGCAGCAAGAGGTGGGGGACCCCAGGGACTCTGGGAGCCACAGACAGGGAGAAGCGCTAAGGAAGGTGACAGCCAAGGTGATGCATCCTGGCTGGGCACAGGAGCTCGCTGGGCAGTGGGTGCTCACTATCTCACTCAAGGCTGCACACCACGAAGACGCTGGACTCCGGAGGTTAAACAGTTTATCAAGGTCATCCCAGGAGTGGCACGGCAGGTGCCACCCAAGAAACTCTTGAACTCTTCAAAACTTATGCTCTTAAACTAACCTAGGTGAAGTTAACTTTTGCTGACAATGAAGAATGGAATGGTGGGGATCAAACAAATGAGGAGGATCTGGAAGGCACTTCTGCAGCACCTATCTCACACTGAGCACCTTCTTGTGCTTCCTGGCAAGCTCTGCTGCACAGAACAAGGCGTGGAAGGAGCTGCAAAGGCTGCCTCCCTCGCCTGGGGACACACACCTCACAACTGACGCACCGGGTACTGAAGGAACTCCTAGCACCTGCCCAAGCCTCTCCACCAAGGTGTGGAGGGGACTCACTGAGCCCAAGGGAGACCCAAGCCTAGGGAAAGTTGGGTGAATGCCAGAGGCTGCCCTCAGCTCAGGCATTACCCTGTGAAAAAGAGCCATGGTCCAGGATAGGTCCCCCAAGATGCACTAAGATGAAGAAATACCATCTTAAATACAGGAAAGAGGGCCAAGGGCACAGCGCCAGTCTGGCAAGTGCAAGGTCCTGAGTTCAATACCCGAGACAAAAAAAAAAAAAAAAGGAAAAAACAGGAACTGACAATTAAAGGGAGAGGCAAGTCACAGAGAAACCTGGGCAGAGTGGCACCCAGTGAGACAAAAACCCAACAAAACCATGGGAACATAGTAAGGTGAGGACTGACACAGGCTTGCAAGCAACATGGAAAAAAAACTTTAGGACTGAGAAATAACAAACAGGAAAAAACAGGATATACTGGGGAAAAAAACAAGATTTAGGGTCAAATCCTGGGTACCACATCAGATAGCAGCAAAGCAAGCCTTGAGATTCTGAAATGAAACGTCCCCAATTATGAAAAAGAAAAGAACTTCTACCTGCCAGGCTTGTTGATTAGGTACCACGGTACATGGAGTGCTTGGCTCTGTGCCCCACTGATAGTAGGGCTCAGTAACACTGCCTGCTATTATTATCAGCAAAACACAGAACTCTTCCAAGAGCGCCCTCCGAAGATGCCCTATCTTAATACCATGCACTTACTTCAAGTGTTAAAAAATATGCTATTAACACATCAAAGGTAAGATTTGCTGGTTTTCAAATTAAATCGATCCAAAGCAAATTACCAAATTAAGCAAACTACAAATGACATGGCAAAGTTCTCCAAGGGGAACTCAAGTGACCAATAAATATCAAACGCTTCCTGAGTGAAACAAAATCTCGCAGACATAATAAAAACCCTAAGTCCCAACTGCACCCTCCACGTCTGATACCAAAAGGCACTCCACAAACACACCGGGCTCGAGGCGAAGAGGCCCAGAGCAGAAGGAGCCGTGAACACGTCCACGTCAAAAGCCAGGAACCCGAGGCTTTGCAAACAGAAGCCCAACACGGCTGCGAGCCGCGGGCCTGACCCCGGACGGAGCCTGGGCGCTTCACACCTCCCCAGAGACCCGGAGCCCGGAGGAAAGATGCTGCGGAGCGGAGACCCAGCGGACAATTCCGGGAAGGAAGCCGGGAGACGCGACGCTGGGGGCAGAGACACACACCCGGAGGACAGGGCTGGGGAAAGACGCCGGCAACCCGGAAGACGGGTCCAGACCCTGGCAGCGGACGCGGACGCCGGGCAGGGATGGAAAGAGCCCCAGGCCAACCCTGTCTCCAGCCCTCGTCTGTGAAAACCCCCGAACGCCCGGGGCTGACGCTTCCCAGAGACGGCGGGCCCGCGGGGCCGCGGACAGACACAGACCCGCGGGGAAAGCCACGGGCCGGGCCAGGCGAGCCTGGCGGGCGCAGAGGTACAAAGGCCGACACCGGCGCCCAGGGCCGAAAGCCGGCAACGACAGGGCCCAGGCCCCGCCACAGAGCCCGAGCGGCTGGCGCCGCATGGGCCAGGCCAGCGCTCACCTCAGCCCCCGACGCAGGGCTTCGGGGGGTCATGGCGGCCAGCCCCCTGCCCTACTCCGCCGCGGCGTCGGGGGCGCGCGCCGGGCTGCGACGCTCACGCGCCGGCGGAGACGCTCACGGGCGCACGCGCTGACGCACGGAGGGCCGCACGCCGACGGCTCCGCCGCCCCGGCACCCAGGAGGGGCGCAGAGAGCCAAGCGGGGGTCTGGAGCCTCAGAGGGAACGGGAAGCAAACGATGTAGGCGATAGACCGGAAGTGGAAGTAGTCGCGCACCCCGCCCACCCCACCGCGCCCCGCCTTGGCAGCACCGGCTTCCGCAGCCAAACCCGCCCCAGTGGCATCACTTCCGGCGCAAACGCTACCGTCACGAGGGCCTCGGCGTCACTTCCGCGGGCCTCCGCAGTGCCCCGATACAGCCGCCCCTATCCGACGGGCAGAGCGCACGCACAGACACACCGCAGTCCGTGAAGTAAAATACAACAAAATGTTTAATGAGCAAATTTCTTTTTAGCAAATTATGAAACTGCCACAGAGGAGGGGCCGGGCCGGGGCCGCGGGGCGGGAACGGGACGGGATGGGACCAGACAGGACCAGACAGGACGGAAAGGCGGGGCGGAGACTAAGGGCAGCTACGTAAGAAACCAGGACCAGGACGGAGAGAAGAGGGAGAGGGGGCGGGGCGGCGGGGAGCGGGGACAACAGAGGCGTTTGGCCAAGAGCTATGAACACGCTAGGTTCCTACCGCGGGGAGGAAGCCGGCTGCCTGGCTGCCCCTGCCCCTGCCCGCCTGCCAGCCCGCGCAGCGCCCCGCTGGGCCTGCGCTTCCCGCCCCCGCCCCGCTGCCACTCCATCTCCTGTGGCGTCACTGCTGTCACTCCTGCCTGCCGTGCCATGCCGTGCTCTGCTGTTCCAGGTGAGGCGAAGAGGGTGACTCAGGCTGGGAGCCTCTGTGGCCGCCGCCCGCCATCCCTCCAGCCGCCTCTACCAGAAGTCCCGGCGGTGGTAGGAGTCGGGGTCGCAGTACTTTGTGACAACCACTCTGTTGGCGAACTTGCGGCCGGTCAGGCCCTGCATGGCTTTCTGGCAGTCAAACACGGAGGTGAACTCCACAAAGATCTGCGGCAACGAGAGAACACGAGGCGGTGAGCCTCGTCCCAGCACCACCAGGCCCAGACCCAAGGAGCCAGCCAGGCAGACATAGCTGGGTGTGGTGAAACGGGCAGGCCCACCACCTACACCCCTGCTCTGTTAGCAGCCACCAGACATGGGGTGCAAACGAGCTCAAAATCAAGCTGCACTCAAGGCCCTGCCCCTGCACCACCCACTTAGAGAACACAGAACCTGTGCTTCTATGTGGCAAACCCTGCACAGCCTGATGGCTTCACTTCAGAAACAAAGTTCTAACAGCTCCCGAGACTGAAGCAGGAGGACCCCAAGCTAAGGCCAGCCTGGACACTCAGCAGGTACACTGGGGGTGCCACTCTGTGAGGGCCCTTGGCTGCCATGCAGGGCCTCAGTTTCAATCCCCAGGCAACAAAAAAAAAACCAGAAGAAATGGCAACTTCCTTTTTTAAAAAAGAAAAAGGTAACTCACAAATGCGCTTAGAAGGCTGAGGCAGGAAACCGCCCCACATTTGAGGCCAACCTCAGATACAGTGAGTGGTCAAGCCCAATGTGAACTCTATAGTGAGGCCTTGTCTTATAAAACAAGAAAATCAACAACAAACCCAAAAGAGCCAAACACGTGCCAAGGACGGTGTGGATACAGGATGCACCACTACCTTTGATGAGTGTGTCTGCTGAGATTCCTAGTGTTAAACTAAGAGCAGGAGCAGGGCGCAATGAAGGAGCACCAGTAAGCCGATTCCAGAGGCCAGGATGGGTCTCTTCCTCCTGTTCCCAGTCCTGACTCCAGAGGTGCCCACTGCAGCCCTTCTCTCCTCCCCTCCCAGCAGCACTTCACCCCACATGCCAATCCCAGAAGTTCCTCTGCCAGGGGGGCAGAGCAGTTCACAGCAAAGTAAGAACGCCATTGACAGATACACCAAGGGGACAGGTAAGCACCAGCCTCCCCCTCCCCGAACTCCCCTCTGCCTCCATCATGCACCTGGCACAGTGCAGAGGTCCCGAACCCCAAGGCTGCACAGACACACTGGGACTTCCTGTGTGTACTTTCCTCTGAGCTCAGACACAAGGTCGCACCAGAGAACAGCAAGGCCAGGCTCAGAACCCACGCTGCCCCGACACAGCCCTAGGTGTCAGCCCTGGGCCTGCCACTCACACAGGCCCAGGGCACGGGAAGAGCAAGGGTGCTGGGGGGGTTGTTACCTTTCCACAGCCGGGCACCTCCACACCATCCACGGGCCGAGGGATCTCGATGGACTTGACCAGCCCGTACTTGCTGCACTCATCCCGCACGTCCTCCACAATCTCCTCATACTCCTCATCATCCAGCAGCTCCTCAGGCAGCACCATGTTCATGAGGCACAGGACCTCAGTCGGGTGGCCGCCCATCTGCACCTGAGAGCTCATCAGGCCCGGGACTTGCAGGGTCACAGGAGTCTGGTTGATGGTGCTCTGTGGGGCCAGGGGCAGGCAAGGCCATTACAGTGGGCTCCGAGCAGCCTCCCACTGCTCAAGCCTGTGCCCCTCTGTGGCCTGCCCAGGGGCCCGAGCTCCTCCACTTGTATGCCTATACATCCCTGCCCAAGAACCCCCAAGCACCCTCCAGGACAACCTAGGAAGGCCTCACCCCACCATCCCCCAGCCCAGGCCCCCTAGCCAATGAAGGTGACGTGCCAGGGGGCTCACCAGCGTGGCATTCTTGGCTCCCACACTTGCCCTCTGGACCAGCAGCTTCTTGTCCCCCAGCTGCATCCCATTCAGCCCTGCAATGGCCTGTGGCAGGTGGGGGTTCAGGGGGACAGGAGAAGGGAGTCAAAGCCCAGTAGCCCGGCTCCTCCCCCAGACCGGGGCATCGGAGGGGAAACAGGATGGCAAAGGAGGTGAGAGTACGGTCTTCCTTCGGGCGGCCACCTCCCACCCCATCCCTGGAGGGCACTGCAGCTGGAAACAGCAAGGTTGGACAGGGCAGACGTGGTGGGCAGCCAGACCCCCAGGCTCACCTGGTCGGTGACGTTGATGTCCACGTACTCACAGAAGGCGTAGCCCTTGGAGAGCCCCGTGGCACTGTCCTTGACCAGGTTGAAGGCCTTGAGAGGCCCAAAGGATGTCAGCAGCTCTTTCACCTGTAATAGGCCGGGAAGCGGTCAGCGCCCCGTCAAGCCGGAAGGAGGGAGGGCAGGTGGAAGGAGGTGCTCACCTGGTCATCATTCAGGTAATTAGGCAGACCCCCAATAAACAGCTTATGGGCAGAGTCAGGGACCACAGTGGACACAACTCCTAAGCGAGAAAGGAGAAGAACTTCAATCCTGACACAGGCATATCCCCAAGACCTAGATACATCCACACCAGGAGCGCACGTCCATCTCATCCCCCGCAGTCTCAACGATCAGAGGGTGACACATGACACCTGTGCAATGACAGACATGCTGCGTCGCCCAGACCCAGCCAGCCCACAAGCTGGCAGCATCCTGCAGGAAAGCCCTGTGGGCAACTGACCACTCACACCTACACGCTGCCGGCCCTGCAGGATTCAGCATGTCTCCTCAGCTTCCAGTACACAGCTGAGACTCTTCAAGCCGCAGATCACGCCCCTGCTTGCAGGAGCCCAATCCCACCCTGCAGATCTGCACACAGTTCCTAGGGCAGGGAATGATCCCACAGAGCACCCTGGGGCATGGCTGCTGGAGTCTGGCTGCTGCAACGAGCTCCCTGGTAACTGCTGGCTGACAGCAAGTCCCTGAGGGCTCCCATGTTACAGCGTGGCCCTCTCAGCTGAGTGAGCTAACATATGCGTCCTACCCTCCCCAGTGAACTGACACAGATGGGTGCCCACCCCACAACTCAACCTAGCACTGCACAGCAGTCTCGGAGCTGCCCATCAGACATGATCCGAAAGCCCCCAGCACCCCCCAGCCTGTCCCCACTTCTCTGCAATCTCCCGCACTTGTTGGCTCATCCCACCTCCGCCCTGGTGCTGGGGAGCAAGACAGGAAATGGGGAACCTATTTCGGGCTCTCATCTCCAGTACACCCTTCTCCAGGGCCCACACAGATGCAGGGGTCAGACTGGATGGCCCTGAGCTATACCAGAGCTGCACCCAGCATAGAGGGCAACACAGTGGGGCAGGGTGCTGGGCCTAGATCCACACAGAAGTGTCCCGGAGTGAGGGCCACAGACCAGGCACATCAAGCTCTGTCCACCTATGATCTCGGTGTGTCCAGAAGTCACCTTGACAAGCATCTCCACAAGTGCCACTGCAGGTTGAGCCCCCACCTATGTCCCCAGTAGGAGACCAAAGCAATCACCCCAAGTCAAGGCTCCCCACCACTGCACTGCATCTCAGAGAGGCACCATCAGCAAGGCACTGGTCTGGCTCCCTGGGTCCAAGTCACAGTGCCACCCACTGAGGCTGCCCAACCTCAGGCTCTCGGGAGAACACAGCAGCCACCACAGAGGAGACTAACTGTACGGTGAAACCTGCACCACCACCAACACAACTTCACTACACTGGGCACAGGCACAGGCACAGGCATGACCCCAGGCTGCACAGGGCCCCGTGTCCACACAGGCAGGTCAAGGCAGGCGTCATGGGACACCTCCCACACTGCGCCACGTCACGTGCACGGAGGACCTCCTTACCAACACGGGGAGGGAAGTCAGTCTTCTTCAGTTTCCAGAAATTGTTTTTTTCTAATCAAGCAGTGTGCTACATTTTACCAAATGCCTCTTCTCTGTCCTAGCTACAGAGTAGGAAAAGGAAAGGAACAGAAGCTCAACACACCTGTTTCCATGTAGGGGGCTGCATTACAGCCCAATCCCAGAGATACTCTACCACTAAGCTACTTGCCCAGCCCTTTCTTATTCTGAGAAACCACCATCCAAGATAAGACGTGCACTTGCAATCCTCCTGCCTTAGCCTCCTCCTGTGCAGAGATTCCAGGCATGCACCACCACAAGCTCTTGCCTACAGAATCACTTCCTGTTACTACCAAGTGGTAGTGGTCTGCCCAACTCAGGCAAAATAGGTACATCTCTGGGCAGTCACAGCCCAGAGACTGGGGAGTACTTGTACCGGCTCTGTGTGCAAAGGCCTGCAACTCAGCAAATGCAATGCCAGCAACTATGCCCTGGCTTGCAGCACCTATTCCCAGATAAATCATACCGGAAGCACCGCAGGGCAGCTGGGTGGGCACTCCGGGGCCAAGCTGCCTGGCCTGGGAAATGACTCCGTGACCTGGAGCCCTTATCATTCACCCCCTCCCTTTCTCCCCTCATGAAATGAAACCATCACTGCACACTTCCTCAGTAAACAGCTACCTCGGAAATAGTGTTGGGTCTGTGGGTCACTCTGTCCTGATTCTCTCATCCTAGACAACACCTAACGGACAGGCCTGGCCACCTGCCCATGAATCTCCACTCAAGAGATTTACCAAGTCCTACCTGGCTACCCTCGTACAGAGTGTCAGCAAGAACAAAGGTGCCACACGACATTCCGGGGCACAGGCACCTGACACACGCTCAACATCGACAAGTGGTCAGCTCTCATATAATCACGCACAGGGCACTAGGTTTACAGGAAGTGGCACAAAGACATTATGCAGCGTGACCTGGGAAACGGGCCCTAGGCAGCGTGCAGAGTGCTAGGCTGACTTGCCACCCAGAGAACTGAGTTCACAGAGACCACAGAACTTACCCAACTCACAATGGAAAACATGAGCAGCTGGGACCTGGCCCCAGGCCAGGCCTCCCTCTGTACTCCCCATACCCGCTCTGTGAAGCAAAGAGCTCCCTCTGTCTTCCCAGTGGCCCTCAGTGCTGACTGCCCATGGGCAGACACCGGCCTCCCTTTCTTGGCTAGAGCATTACTGGCCTCCTGTAGGCTAGGGGGTCTTGAGTGAGCCTAAGGCCCCCTTCACGCCTGCTGTGCCTACCACAGGTGGGCAAACCACAGCCCACAACTGCTTCCATAGACCACAAGCCTCCTCTGGGACTCCCAGGTGGCATGGAGACAGCAGCCACGCACACCCATGCGCACACAGCGCTCACTCAGCTGCCACGGGACAGTGGCGACCACTCCCTTCCACCAGAGCAAACACTGGCTCACCCAGGGGGGCGGCTCAGAGCCAGGACTCCAGCCACAGCCACGGGGAACCAAAGAGCACAAGAGCGCCCCCAGGACCTGGGCGCACAGTCTGCGGGGTCCTGGACAGGTGTGCTCGACAGGTCCCAGGGCCACACACCCACGAGGAAGCAGGGTCCAGGCTGAACCCCACCCTTCCAGGGGCACCACAGAGGTCTGGTCCTGGTCCCGCCACCTTCAAGCTATGCATCAGCTCCTGTCTCCTGGGCCAGGCTGTCTGCTCGGAGGACACCGGAGGCACAGGCTGGCCACTCTTTACTCACCAGGCACGTAGACTGAGGGGTTCTCCGACATGCCGGGCAATGGCTGGTAGTCATGAGGCCTACGGATCTTTAGCGACTGGCCCTGGAAGATGATGCCGTCGAAGGCCATGGCCTGGGTAGTCTCATCTACTGATCGGAACTGAAGGTACAGGAGAGGAGGACAGTGAGAGATGAGTGTCCTTGTTCCTTCCACTCCCATGAACAGTCACCCATGACGGGCTCTGCCCTGGACACTGGGCAGCAGAGACACCAGCACCCAACACAGCAGCAGTGGCCAACGTGACACCACAATCGCAAGGATATAGATTGAGAGCCGCACGGGAGGCTCAATAACAAAGGGAAGAACTGACTGGCTTTGCAGAGAAGTGACACACTATGAAACAGTGTGACTCAAGGAGCTCATGATGAGGACAAGGATGAGCAAGTGTGTGGTGGAAAGGAGCTCCCACCGCACTGTGCCTCCTAGGCCTCTCCTGGAAATGGTGCCCTGCCCTGCTGAACGCTGAAACCCCAAGTCCCTCTCCCAGCAATCTGAGACACCACCGTGGAAGACGGTTAAACACTGGTGATGCATGCCAGACACCCTACGCTCCCAGAGGTAGCCAGGAGCCTGAGCCAGGCCAGCCTGAGCAACTTATGAGCACCCTATCTCAAAATAACAGAACCAAACAAAGGGGCTGGAGGCATAGCTCACTGTATAAACAGTGCAAGCTCATGAATTCGATCCCTGGTTTCAAAGAGAAAAATTTAAGAGGGCGTCAGTGCACAGTTCTGGGTTTAATCCCTGTTTCCAGAAAACATGTATCTGCCCATCTCAGCTCCACTGCAAGAGGGGCACAGCATGTCCCAGGAGGTCATGAGCATGTCCAGAGCACAACACTGGGATACAGAAGAGGCAGCACGGGACGTGCAGGCAAGAGGAGTTCCAGGCACCAAGAGAGAATGGCCCACAGAGGACCACCAGAAAGGAGCAGTGAAGGGAGGACCAACCCAGCAAGAAACAGAAGGGATCCCCATACCAAACACACCTGGCCCCACGCCAACCACCCAGCTCACCTCCAGAAAGGCAAAGTTCTTGTCCTGGTTGATCTGCACAGCCAAGACTGGGTTGCCAGGAGCCTGGGTCAGCCCCCCCAGGCGCATCTGGGCGTTGAAGAAATCCATCATGGCCTCCTGCAGAGGAAGAGGAGACAGGGGGCGGGGAGGGAGGTGGAGAGAGGAGGGGAAGGGTGAGAGAGGGAGACACAGAGGGTTTGGGGGTGAGGGGAGTGGGACGGGCAGGGCAGGGTGGGACAGTGGAGCACAGGTGAGGGGCAGAGGTCAATAGTGGGAACCAAAGCAGGAGAGAAATAAGACACAGGAGGAAGCCATCACAAAGGATGAGGACAGAAGATGGAGCCACAGGGCAGCAGACACAGGTGTGAGGGGAGCCACAGGGGCCCGATGGAAAGACAGTTTGGATAAAAAAAGAAAGAAAACAACAGGGCAAGAACAGGAGACGAGGAACAACAGGAGAAACAAATAGATGCCCAGAGCAGACAGGACAATGAAATGGCATGAGATCAGCAGACCAGAGAAAAGGACAGGCAAAGGGAAAGCAAGAGAGAGACAGCAAGGAGGAAGAGGTGAGTGTGGGGCGGGAGGGGCGGGGCGGGAGGGGAGGAGAAAAGAGTGATGTGGAGGGACCTGGCCCTGGAGTCCGGGGGCTGGTTTATCAAATGTAGCAAAGTGCAGGTTGAGAAAGTCAGAATGGACCTTACTTGCCTTCGACGATGGTAGCAAACTTTTTGTTGCTACGAGGGATCTCAGCCCCACAATATTTCACTTTAAAGAGAAATGGAAACAACTCTTTGATCTCGGGATTCTCAGGGGTGCCACGGGAAGGGGTGGGGAGAGGGCCGGGGAGGGCAGGAGCGGTGGGGAGGGGGAGGTCAGGGCAATCAAAAATTAAGAACAGCGACCATGGGAGGACGTAGGGGAGAGGATGGGGACAGACGGCAGAAGAGGAGAGTGTATCAGGAAACACTGCAGGGCGTGCGTCTGTGTCTGTGTGTGTGTGTGTGTGTGTATGCGCGTGTGTGTGCGCGTGCGCGCGCATGCGCGCGTGTTGAGTCGCCCTCTGTCTCTCCGACACGTAGGTACCACATGGAGGTTGGTTCTGTGTGTGTTTGATCCCGGGTTGCTGGAGAAGGGTGGGAGGGGAGATGGGAGAGGGAAGAGAAGGGAGGGAGGGGCCACCCCCAGCCCGGCCCCTGGCTGGCTCAACTCCATCATCCGTCTGGGAGGGGGCCGGGGGGTCTTGCAGGAGCAGAGTCTGACCCGTGCAGGTTGGGGGAGGGGACGAAAGGGAGGGCAACAAGGTAGGGGAATGGGGAGAGGGTAGGGAATGGGGAGAGGGTGGGGCAGGGAAAGGGCAGTACCTCAGTGATGCCAAAGGGGATGTTGCCCACATAGAGGCGCCGGGCCTGTCTGGTCATCTGGCTCCCAACCACAGGCACTGGCGTTGGGGTCACAGCCAGACCATCCGGGGTCATGGTGGGAAGGAGGGCGGTAGCTGGAATCTGACCAGCAGCTGAGGAGGAGCAGAAAAAAACACAACCCTCAACCCAAGCTCTGGGGGCCCCCTGGCCCATCCCAAAAAGTCTACCTCCTCTGCGCAGAGGTCTGCAGGACCTCCTGCAGACCCAGCACCAGAGCAGCACTCAGGAACCACTGCTGCCCTGAGCCTGGCCTCCAACACGGTGTGCCCACCTGTACCTTGCTCTCCCACCCACCAGGCCGTAGGCGGCTGGGCCAGGGCCTACCTTGCATGGCCTTATATTGCATTGGGGTGATGTGCTCAAAGCCAGGCGGAGGCACATCCCAGTATTTACGCACTTTCTTCTTCTTCTCATGGCGGGGGGAGCGGCTGGGAAGGGGAGGAAGAGTGGGCAGGGCCACCTCAGTCTGACTGACTACAAGTGGGGTGCCATCTACAAGCCCCTCCCCATTCCCAGGCTTCCCCATTCCCCCCACCCAGGAAGCACCACTCCCACAGCAGGGAGAGGACTGGGCAGCACCAGGCAGGGGACTCTTCCCCTGTGCTGGGCCAGGGTGGATGGGGCCAGGTGGGTGCAGGGGACATGAGGAAGAAGAGAGTGGACTCGGGCAGAAGGGGCAGGAGGAGAAGCTCACATCAATCCACCGTGCTCCTCTTTAGCGCCTCTGGTCAAAGGTTTGCTGAGGGGTGGGAAGGAAAGGTTCAGGGAGGGGTGACTGGGGACCCTTAGTTTCCCCACATGCCACACACACACCCCCAAGAGCACCCAGATCCCCAGAGCTGGACAGGGCTGCTCAGCACACCCACTCAGCCCTGTCCCACAGCACGCCCAAGTACCTACACCTCCAGGACAGAGAAGTAAGGAAGAAGCCCAGGGTGCACAGACCCACCCCCCCAGAGAAACTGAGACAGTGCAAGGCACCCTCCCCACCACCCACCCTCACCAACAAAGACAGAACAGATGGGGACAATGAAGGAGGCTGCCGAGTAACAAAACTCATGTCCCTGGACCGGACGCATGACAGGGTCCCTCTCCCAGCAGACAAGGGAGAGGAGGCCCCTAAGCACAGCCCTGCCCTGAAGACAGAATCTGCTCCTGTCTCCAACTAGGAGACCACTGCCTTGGAAACCCTACAAATAACAGCAAGAGGCTGTGCCCACAAGAGAGGTGAGATCCGAGACCACAGCGCAGGTACCTGCCCACTCCCAACCAGCACCCTGAGAGGAGCCCAGGGTCTACACCCCACCGGGACAAATGCCTGACTCCTAGCCAGGTCCCTCAGTCTACCTGCGTCGCCTCCTGTCCCGGGAGGCACTGCGCTGGTCCCGGTTGCGCCGGTCTCGGCTCCGGCTCCTGCGCTTGCGGTCCCGGCTCCGAGAGCGGCTGTGGCTGCGCTTCCGGTGCCGGTTCTCTTTGTCCCGCTCTGGGCACAGGTGGAAAGGGGGCAGAGCATGAGCAGAGGTCATCGAGAAGAGCCCAACCCACGCTGGGCACCCAGGAAGGCCACCCCCCAGGGGTACAAGATACAGCAGAGGAGGAGAGTGAACACATAGCCTCCTGGCACCACACAGGTGTCCCCAAGGACTCGAGGGGACAAGGAGACAGGGCCTGGAAATGCCCCAGGGGTGCAGTATACCTGAGGATGCTCAAGAAGAGCTGAGGAGCCAGAGAAGACAGAGCCTCCTGGTCCCCCTCGAGGGCTGAGGGACCTGACCCTAGGGCCGTCCCTGAGAGGGGTAGGGCTAGACAGTGGGGAATCAAAAGACCCAGTGATATTCTCCTGAAGGGACCCAATGGCCCCTCAGGAAAGACCTCTGTAACCTGCAGGCACCCTCAGCCCCACCTTCAGACCCCAGGGAGAAGGCCAGGCAGGATCTGGTAAGTCCAGGAAGCTGGGAAACTCAATGCTGTCCCTTCCGGGCCAGGTGAATAATGCAGAAGCATCCCCCCCCCCCCCGAAAATCTGTCTCCTACTGCAAGAATAGACCGCCTTAGCCTCAGCTAGGGCAAAATCCTATAGCACACAATCTTCAGCCCCACTCCCTCAAACCACGTGCAATAAGGGCAACAGCAAGGACTCAGGTCCCACCAGGATCCACGAGATGCAGCTTCCTCAGCCTCACTGAGGCAGCATGGGAAAACAGCACAGCCTTGCCAGCCTGACACAGAGACCTCTGGGCCCACAGGTCCCTTGCTCTCTGCAGAAAGCGCCCTCCTCACGGTGGCAGCTAAGCAGCAAGCAGTTACGCCACTTCCTGACTTCTCACTATTTATCAGGCATGTGCTCAGAAGTCCAACTCTTTTAAGAACAAGGGTAGGGAAGGAAATGCCAGGAGGAGAGGATAATGAAGGAGACCAGCTTCACCACAATGTTAGGCCAATACAGTTCACTGACAGAAGCAAGCATGAACTTCTTGTAAATCCACCTCAATTCGAATCCCTAACACTCAGAAAAACCAAAGGCAAGGGTCACACATTGGGAGGCTTCATGCAACCTAAATCTACACTCAAGAGTTCTATTTACACTTAAACCCCATTGCTGCTTTGGGAGAACACTGCTGGAGACTCACACACAGAGGCAGAGAGATCACAACCTGTCCAAGGAAGGCCACACAGATCACAAGCAGTAAAACCTAAATTCAGACTCTGTAAGATCAAAGTAGGCAATTAAGCCCCAGGCTGTATTCCTGGAGGCAGTTCAGGCAGAACACCCCACCCTCTGGCAGTGGAATTTTATCCTCAAAGACCAAAGACCGGGACTAGCCACAGAGTGGGGTACTGGGATCTGTGGTGTCACTGTAGACAAGCTGGCGACTCCTGAGCCTTTCTGGCTCTGGCAGCCTCAGAACCACAGAAAGAAAGTACCATCTCCACTGGGTACCTGGACCACAGATAAAGAAGAGCCTGAAGCTGAAAGAGAGGCTGGCTAGGAGGCACCCAGAGACAGGTGACAAGGAGGCAGAACTTCCTTTGCAGCAGCAAGAGCTGCCACTGGATACAGACCACCACAAAGGGAGCTTCTTTTGCCCAGATGGTGGTGGGAGCAAAAGCACCAAGCCAGATGTGCCAAGTCTCAGCCCACCTAACACCGGCAGGGACAGCCCAGGAGAACCAAAGTGATCCACCTTCAACAGCTTCGAGGACCAGCTTCACGTGGCAGTCACAACTCTGCACAAAACCATGCAATTTGCCCTCTAATACTTGGTTTTCTCTTCTTTAAACTAGGATCATGTGTGTCCCACCTAGGTGTTCTGAGGGCTGATCCGTGTTTGGAAAGCAACTTTCCCTGCCCTTGCCCAACCCTAATGCTACACCTATGGGAGAGCCAATGACCTAATTTTCTACTGCCTTCCTAAATGTGCCATCTTACAAAAACAAATTTCACTGATTAGGAACTTGGTATGGGCAAAGCCATTACATACATGCCTTGTTATCCCACTTAATCTCAGCTCCTATGTCTGACCAGAAAAGACCAAATAACGAAATTGAACTTTGTGAGCCTTAGTTCCTTTCCCAATAAAAATTTTGTCCCCAGCGAATTCACTTAACAAAATCACGCAGAACTTAATTGCCTGACACATGTTAACTACAACTACCACCAGCCTCCTTATTAACCCTCTCAAAGCCTTGTGCCAAAATGCAGAACGACGATCTTGAGGAAAAAAACCCAAAACGTTTAAGAGCACAACTACTACACAACACCGCAGTTATTTACGTAAACACAGATGTATTCAACGTCAAAGCCCATACTCTTCTTACGTATTCCACCACCTAAAGACTGCTCACACACGCTCACTGTTACTCCTACTCCAGACAGTATCTCCTCACCCACTCCTCCTGCCGACTCAAGCCTGGGTCGAAAGGAGGACTCTGAGTCCCTCTCCGCCGCCCCCACCACTGCAGCACCGGCATCTCAAGCCTCGTGCGCCAAGAAACTTGGGACTCTACTCCTAAACTTTTTTTTTACTTTCACACCAAAACACAGACAAGGCGGGCAGCTTAAAACGTCTGCAGATGACCCTCACTTTCTCAGCGTATGGGACCAGTCCGCCTGCGGCAGGACCGCACAAAGACCCATGGGCCGGCTCTTGTTGTCTGCAGGACGGATCAAGAAGCTGAATCTAAGTACCCTGAGCCTAGGACCGAGCAGACTCTGGGCCTTCTGGAGCTAGGAAGACGGGGGACGGAGGCTGCACATCGCCACGCGTTTTGTGCGAGGCACAAACAATACAGAGACCTCCTTCCACAAGGGACAAGAGACCGCCACCGCCGGGCGGAAGCATCAGGCCGGGAGCCCGTAAGGCCCGAGCGGGATAGGCGAGTCGCACGGTCCACGTGAAGGGGGAAGCGGCCGTCCCCGCCGCCATCTTGGAAACAAAGGGGGCGTGGAGACAGGGCCTAAGGCCCGACCGGAAGCGGAAGCGCCCAGACAGCGGGAGAAAAAGGCCAAGCCACGGACCTAGCTTCTCTATTCCCCGAAAATGGGGAAATTGTGAACCTAAGCAACCGCATGCTGCGTCCCCCGTGCTGCCTCCGCCGCATCCACGTGGGTGCGGGCCGCCGCGGCGCGCATGCGCCCGGGCCGCGCCCGCCGCCCCATTCCTGGCCGTGCGGGGCGGAAGGCCGCTGTCACGTGAACCAGGCGCGCGCCGCGGAGGGGGGGGTCACGGCGCGGCCCTGAGGAGGGGGACGCCAGGGGAAAATGGCGGGGGGGGGCCGGGAGAAAGACCAGGGGCCGCACCACCGCCACCCTGCGACCCCACTGCCCTTACCTTGCTTATTCTCGTTGAGCTGCCGCTCGAACTCATCGAAGTCCGACATGCTGAAGCGGCCGCGTAGGGCCTGAACACCTCTTGCCTTGCCTTGCCGCCCGCCCGCTCTGGCCGCTTCGGCTACTTCCGCCGCTGGCTTCGGATACTTCCGGCCGCCGCCGGCGCTTCGTCGCCTACCTAATCAAGGCCCCAAGCGGCCCGCCCCGCCCCGGCTCCGCCCCCTCGCCCTGCCCGTCCCCCAACGAGCGGCCCCTAGCCCCCAAGCCTGGCTCCGAAGCGCGTCGGCTATTTCCGGACGATCCACCAGAGTACGCAGGCGAAGGCTTCGGCTGCTTCCGAAAACACCCGAAGTGAGGGCTTCACCGGCTTCTCAGGTTTCGGTAACTTTTCGGAGATTAGCGACTCAGCGTTCCGCGCGTCCTCACGTTCCTCTGCGCCTTGCTCCCTCTAAGGGTTCCTGTTCCTACAGTTCAAACCTTCCCAGTCTTTAGGTTTGTCCAAAGACTAGCGCGTCTCTTCTTTGCCGTCTCTGAGCCACTAGTCGGCCACTTCCGACTATTCTAACCGTTTAACACTTCAGTACTTTCCGAAGGTTTCCGGAGCTCCACCACGGGTTCCTCTAGAGACTACGATCGATCCCAAGCTTCGGGTCTTTCCGGAGGTTCCACTCGTTCACTCCACCCCTTCCGGGGAACTTCGGCTCCGTCCGCCACTGCTTCGGGAAGCCTTCGCTCAGAGGGGACAATTTCGGGTTTTTCCGTCTACAATTCGGCTCCTTCCGCCTTCGAGAACCGAATAGAGAGGGAGGACAGAGGTGAGGTGGGTCTGGAGAAGGGATACAGAAAAGGGGGCGGGGTCCCAGCTTTCGGCATGTGTCTCTCTAGGTGAAGAGAGCAGACAAAAAGGGCCGACCTCGGAAGACCTGCGAAGGTGCGCAAGACAATAGCAGCCAGCCGGTGAGGGATGCGCGCGGCTGCTGCGGAGGTTGCAAGCGCGGTTTTTATGCGTTTGCGCACGTTGCAAAGGAGGCAGGGGGACGGTCTTTCGCGCCTGCGCGTAGAGGCCGGTCTTAGGCGCGGTTTCTCGCTGCTGCGAGAGCCAAAAAGAGATCTAAAGTAGACAGTACTCATGCGCGAAGGTGCTTAAGTCTGGACTGATAATGGCGGCAATGTCGCCTGGTTGCCTTGGCAACCGCATAAGCGTACTCTCGCCCCTCCCGCGACGTAAGCGCTGCGGATGGTGGTAGCGCTATTTCCGGGATAGGGTCGACCCTGCGTTACTACCACCACTGCGTGCCGGCTGACCCGCAAGCCGCCCGTCCCCGCGGTGTCTGCCTCTGCTAGTGGTCCTCGGGTCGCGCCTTCCGCCACGGCGCCTGTCTAGCCCAGGTAGCCTCGCGGGCAGTGTCCACGCCTCCTCCCTGGAGTTTGCACTTAGGGGAACAGCTGCAGCTCCCTCTCCTGCTCGCGCCTCCTGGGGCTAATTACACCCTGTCCTCCCAACTCCCGGCGGACCGCCCCCGTCTCCGTGGCGACGGCCGCCCCCTCCGAGGAAGATCTGGGGCCTAGGGTATTCCAAATTTTCACATCTTTAATTTAAATGCTCTGAATAATTCTGTCTCACGTGGAAAGAGGCCGGCCAACTCGAGGTCGGTCGGGTGAAACAGGCGACGCCACCGGCAAGGCAGGACACAGGCTTGGGGCAGGGAGGTGCGTCGGGCCTGGAGGGGGGGGCAGAAGGTCCACAGAGGGCAGCGGGGCAGCATCACCGCTTGAAGCGGTAGGTGATGGGCAGCAGCAGCTTGCTCTTCTTGAGCGCCTGCACCTTCTTAAGCGTCTCCTCGTCCAGTGCTAGGAAGCAGCGGCGGGAGTACTCGAGTAGGCGTTCCTTGGAAGGGTCGAACTCGCCCACCTCCGCCAGCTTCTCTGGCGCCACGATGAGCAGCTCTGCGATAGGTGTGGTCAGCGCCACCGTGTTCCGGTCCACGCGGTGGTGCTCAAAAGCCCGAGACATGCTCTTCAGCTTCTGGAAGGTGCCCAAGATCTTCTTGTATCGACAAAGGACCCCGTCAGCGTCCTTCACTGCAGGGTCAAGAGGACAGAGGACGCATGGGTACCAAGTGATAAGGGAAGCAGAGTAGAAACAAAAAGGCAGATGTGGGAGGAGGGAGAAAGTGAGGGACACAGGCAGGAAAGGAAGAGGAGGCAGGGATTAAGCAAACCAACCCAGGAAAAGAGAACAAAATGGAAAGACAGTGTGAGCACATAGGATACACAGAAATTAGCAGGAATTAAAGAGGTAGAGACAGGAAATGAGAGGCTGGATTCAGAGACCCAGCCTCCAGACCACCCCCCTAGCAGAGACCACCTCCCCTCCAGCTGCATGGGTGCTCCTCTGAGGACCCACCTCCTTCTGAGGAAGCCACTGAAGCTCAAAAAGGTGCCCAAAGTCACCCTGCTGGTGGGAGTGGAAGGAAGTATAAAGACTTGAAGCCAGGATCACACTGTAAGGCTGGACATGGCCCCAGGTCTAGTTTTTTAAATGGGGCAGGGAGCTTTTGCAAAACCTGGACTCCCCAGCCCCTTAACACTGACAGCCTGATCCATGCTCACCCCGCTGCCTCTCCCGGGCCTTGGGCTTCCCGAAGCGCTTCCGACTGGCACTTCCCTTCTGCTTCTGCCTCTTCCTGTCACTGGCACTGCCTTCTTCTGATGCCTCGCTGAGTGAGGAGGCAGCCGACTCTGGGTCTGAGGCTTCGCCCCCAGCCCCAGCCCGGCTGTCCCCCTCCACCCGCCGGGGCCCAGGCTTCATGCAGCAGTGGTCCTCTGGGGAGAGACACAAGTGAACTGCAACACCAAATGTCACATCCCCGATCCCAAGGAAAAGCAGTGGCCGAACCCGCAAGGAGCTAGGAGGGCAGGAAGGGCAGGCCACGGAATGAAGCAGAGCCAGCCCCCAGGTTCCTAGCACGCATTGCTTTCCTACAGGACAGAGACCTTGGGAGAATCTACCCATGGAGTTCCCTACAGGAAGTTTTTGAGGACCCCTAGGCAGGCACTTAAAGAGAAACCAAGGCTCAGCCTGGAAGGTTAAAGAAAGTGACAAGCTTCACCTGCAGACCTGTGGGAAACAAGGGACCCCACCCAGAAAGCCCAGAGGCCCAGGGTCCCCACTATGAGGGGATAGGTCCAGATCCCCAAACACTGGGATCCCTAGCAACAAGATCCCTCCCCCCAAAAAGACAAAGGCTCCCGCCTAGGCTTGGGAGGGGGTGACCAGTCATGACCTCTCAAGGATCCCAAATTGGAGTGTGTGGGATAGGGTGAGAAGGGATTAAGTCCCTCAAGATTTGGCAGAGGAAAGCCCTCTTCAAGGAGCAGGAGGTAAACAAGCAGGCCAGGTGGACCCCGAGTTCCAGTCATAAGATCTGCACCCAAAGAAGAAGCTGAATCCACTGACAGAGTTAAACTAACGTCTATGAGGAGTAAGAAGCTTTATGTTTAACCAAGAAGCAGGGTGAGGTAGGTGTAAAGGCAGGACCCCCGAACAGCTAGATGTGAGAAGGCTGAGTGCTTGGAACTGGAGAAGACAGATAGGATGTAAGGTGGGCCCAGAGGGCCAGAGGCAGGGTAGTCTCCCCATGAAGGTCACAAGTTCCCCAAGGGTCTTGGGCCAGCTGAGGGCTCAGGGGTTTGAAGCTGGTGGAGGATCAGGATGCCCACTGGATGGTAGGAGAAGGTACTTAAGGGATCAGACATCAAACCAGAAGTCTAGGCTCAGGAAGTCTGCCTAGAACTGAGCCAGGGTCTAAGAGATCTGTGGAGCACCCCACACCTGCGTCCATCCTGGCCGAGGAAATGAATTTGTCCAGCTGACACCGCAGGAAGTCCCTCTCTTCTTCTAAGTCTTCAATGCGCTTCTGCAGCCAGGAGTTCCGCTCCAGGGCCATATGCAGCTGGGCCTTGACCCCGTTCATCAAGGCCAGCGTGGGGGACGTGGCTTCTGGGGGTTCTAGAGACCGTGAGAAGGGGCCTGGGTTATTCCACAGGGTGAAGGTGGTGCCCCCAGCTACCTCTGCTCTTTAGCCCCTCCTCTCACCCTCGAAGCTCCTCCGTGAGGGGCTCAGACTGTAAAAGATCTGTGAGTCTAGGTGGGGCGCCTCCTCAAAGGGGATGGAGATCTCGAAGGCCTCCTCATCCTTCTTCACTAGAGAGAAGAGGCCTGCGGTTCACGGCGGCGGGGGAGGGGGGGCCTTACACCCCCCCCCAACCGCAGCGGCCCCCAAGGGGGTGGGGGCCCAGAGGGGGAGGGATCGCTCCTCACTTGTGCGCCGCCGGCTGCCTCTGTCGATCAGGCTCATGCTTCTTGCAGACCCAGGCGGCTCTGGGGGGCACCGGACAGAAACGGTGTCCATGGTCGGAGTCAGTCCTGGGGCAGGGGGGACCCCCACTGCTCGGGAAGGAAAAGGAGCTCGAGGCCGGACCCCCGCACTCTCTGGACCCAGCTTTCCAACTGGGTGCCTCTGGAAAGTGGGAGCTGGGAGCGTGGGAGCTGACACCTCGATCCTGGGGAGAAGTTGGCTGGGAACCCAGATTCCCCTTGGGGTCAACGCAGGAAGGACCTCCGGCCTGAGTAAGAAGGACCTCATCGCCAGCCACGCGCACCGTGGGGAGAGCGCCCCAACTTCCCAGCCAAGAGTAGGGGTCCAGCCCATGCGCACTGCACCTTCGCCCTGGGCGCCCCTCCCCCACCCCGCTCGTGGGCGAGCGGGACCCTCCTGCTCAGCCGAGAGGCTGGGCGCATGCGTAGTACGAAGAAGGTCGCGCGTGGAGATGCGCCCCCGCCCCCGCCCTTTGTCCCACGGGTTAGAGTGGACTGACATAGAAAGGAATCCTAGCAGAGGTGCGCACAGGACCATCATCCCCCGCCCTCGGGTGCCCGGGGTTCGAGGGACTTGGGTTCCCGCGCTCACCCACCCGCGCGCGGAATCCAGCCCGAGAACCGACGGCGGTGGTGCCCATGCCCAGCGCTGGGGAGCGTCTGCAAAGTGTCACGGGGAGCGGAGAGGAATGGGCGCCCACCCGCGAGCAGGCGGGGGTCGGGCACGAGCCCAGTGACGGGGGTGAGGATGCGAGGTGGCCCTGTCCGGCCAGCACCGAGCAGCCTCCAGAAGCCCCGCGCCCAGGTGAGGCTCGCCGTGGACGCCGGGACTGCGGCCCGCACTTGCGCGATGGCCCCTTGCGGCACTCACCCTCCCCACATCGCAGGGAGGGAGCGTCGCGAAATTCCTATCCTGCAGTGCTGGAGCGGCGCGGAGGGGGTGGGGATCCCGCTGCTGATGGCTAAGCCGTCGGAGAAGTCGAAGCCAAAGAAGACTCCGTTTAGTGACCCTCATTCAAAGAACTTAGCACTGTGTCCACAGCTAGGCTGACAAGGACAGGGGCCCAGAACGCTCACCACCACCTTCCTTTACTGACTACAGCTGGCTGTGGAACAGACCTAGAGTCTAGCCTCAGCCGCTGTGCACCTCCCCAGCCCGGTGAGCCCAGCCTTTAACTGGAAAGAGCGGGTTGCCACGAAGGCTCCTTGTGGGGGGTGTAGTAAGAAAGCACCCAAAACGCGCGGCGCAGTGCCTAGCTGCGGCGCGCACACGGGGCTCGACCTAAAGTCAGGGTCAGCACCCTGCCGACCCAGTATGCCCTTTCCCTGTGCTCTGAGATCAGTTCCTCCGCCCAGAAACAAGTCAGAGAAAAGGAAAGAAGCCCTGGCATAAAAGAAGCAATGAAAAGACATCAAAAGGCCTATGTTTATTAAGCTTGAGGCTCAACTCAACTCGTTTGTCACCCCTTGATCTGCCACATGCATCTGGGAGAGCACAGAGCAAAGCTGAGTGCGCTCCCCTCCCCCTGCTGCTGCAACCTGCTGCCCTCCTGCTTTGCTTTTTGGAGAAGTTTCAGCCTGGGTCCGAAAGTCCAGGGGGAGCCACCTGCCCTAGATCAGTGTTTTTCAAATGATAGGTTCATGGGTGAAGAATTTAATACAGTAGGATGGGCTCTACGTTTTTAAAAATTATGGTCAAAAAATTGGGGTGTCTTGCAACTACTGTTAAATTTGATATACACTGTGTATCTGCATACCAGTTGTTATATAGAACATGTATGTTACAGTGGATGTTTTTTAAAAAGTTTTAAGACACTTCCAACAAGACGCAAGTCTGCAGGGTGGGCCATCCTCCAACTCTGCAGCAGGCCAGCTGAGCTCTTCCTACTTAGTGTTGGGCAGCCATCCATGACACTGTCTCCAAAGTGCTCAGCACCACTGCAAACGTGATGTACCGTATGTTCAGGCCCATGTGCATCAAAAGGGTTCCTGAGGGTGCCCGGCCACGGGGCTGGGACAGGAGTTTCCACACACACAGCATCTGCCCCTTGGTCAGCCCTATACCGGGAATGTCCCAAATATGAGACCAGAGGACTTCATTCTGTGTGAAGACTCAGCCAAAACCCATGGCTTTTCCTTCCTCCTGACAGGACTCACTGCAAGAGTAGGCCAGGGTGTGTGTATGTGTGTGTGTGCACGCGCGTCCAGGACCCTAAAAGCCACCTGCAACTTAGTGGGGCCTGGGAGATTCAAGGGACTCTGGTCCCGGCGCAACTCATGGATGCTTCCAGCGCGTATGCTTCTGCAGAGTGTTCTGCTCCATAAAGCGGCGCGGGCAGTGTGGGCACTGGAACGGGCGCTCCCCAGAGTGCACACGGCTGTGCTGGGCCAGCTCTCCCGCGTCCCGGAAGCGGCGTGGGCACAGCGGACAGCCATGCGGCCGCCCACCGCCCGCCCTGTGGATGGAATGGTGCCGTGCCAGGTGGCTGGCCCGCTTGAACGCCTTCCCACACGTGTCACACTCAAAGGGCTTCACTTCTGAGTGGGTGATGCTGTGTCGCTGAAGGTAGGACATGTACTCAAACACCCTTGAGCACACCGGGCAGCTGTAGCACTTTTTCTGGGCCGAAGCCCCATCGACCCCAGGCTCCCTCTGTGACTCCTCATCCACCAGCACAGTGTAGGGGACACCCTGGGTGTCAATGAGAAGGTAGTGACTGGGCCTCGAAGGAGTCGAGGTCTGTGGAGGTGCGGTGGAGGAGGAAGGTCCAGGTTCTGGGCACCTGCCCGTCCGAGGGAGCGCGGCCTCCATGTCCTGGGGCTGGGGACAGGGGAACGGCAGCACCGGCATTCGGAGGGTGGCTGGGGCCTAGGGATGGAGAGGAGCAGGGGTCGCTGTGGAGATGTCAGCGCACCTCCTGGGCTCCGTGGCATCCCGATGCCCTGTTCGGTCCTCGGCACCACACCACCCCCAATCTCCTCTCCAGCCCGGCTATCACTTCTGGGCTCTGAGGTTCTCCGAGGCCTCCAAGTCTGGCCTGTGCTGTGGGCTCCTCCCCAGCCCCTACTGCCAATCCCCAGACGTCCGTTCACGACCACCCCGGGAGCTGCCTCGCAGGTGCTGCACGGCCCCGCCCCCGCCGCCCGCTCCGCGCCAGCGCGCCTCGCCCCGTACCGGTGCAGCGGCCTCTCGGGTCCGGGCGACTCCGGACGGCCCGGGGTTGCTCTGGCAGCTGTGGGCGGCGGAGATCTAGGACCCCCTAAGTGTCCCCGGGGGCCGTCGGCGCCGAGTGAAGGAAGCAAAGACCCAGGGAGCCAGGAGAGGATTCAGGGCCGGACGGCGGGGGCGGGGCGGGAGGGTCATTGGAAAGCGGCTCGGGCCGGAAACACGCACCAAGCGAGAGGAAGGTTCCCGGGTGCTCGCGGTCTGGCCTCAGCCCCGGCATCGCCCCGCATCCGACACACAAGAGCCAGCCTCAGATGAACTGCGGAATGTTTATTGAGCAACGGATGGGGGGTGGTTGTCGGAAGGAGGGAACAGACGCCAACCAGACCGTCCCGGCGCTCTTTTGTCGTGCCTTGCACGCAGAAGACAACCTCTTGCCACTTGGGAGAACAGAAAACCAGGGCTCTGGAGTTGGTGGCTCTGGAAAAGGCTCACGCTTGCACAGCGGGCCCGGAGCGTAGCTCCCTCCGCTACCGGGCGCGGGGGCGGGCGACAACTTTGGTCTACATCACACAGCTAGACGGGAGCGGAAGAAAGACTTCTCCCGCGGGTGGAGGGGAGGCCGAGGCCGGGGGTGGGCGCTCAGTGCAGGCGGACATGCTGCGCCAGCTCGGCCGCATCCTGGAAGCGGCGCGGGCACAGCGGGCACGTGTGCGGCGGGCCGGCGCGGGCGCGGTGCGTGGCGCGGTGCCGCGACAGGTGGCTGGAGCGCTTGAAGGCCTTGCCGCAGGCGCCGCATGTAAAGGGCTTGAGGTCCGAGTGCGATACGCGGTGACTCTGCAGCCGCAGCGGGCTGGCGAAGACCCGGGCGCACTCCGGGCAGCTGTAGCCCTTGCGCGGGCCGGGTTCCCCCGGAGGCGCTTCGCGCTGCGGGGGGCCCCGGGGCTCCTCCTCCAGCGGCACAGTGTACGTGTAGGGGACCCCATTGGCGTCGATGAGCAGGTGGCGTCCCAGCCGCGGAGGCCGGGGGCCCGCCGCCGAGGAGGGCGTGGAAGCGGCGCCCTCCGCCTTGGGGAAAGGGGGAGCCTTGGGGGGCGGTGGGTCCATGGCCTCGGGGGAGGTGGACCGAGGGTGGGGCGGCCGCGGCGGCAGCAGCAGCATCTGGAGCGGAGCTGGGAGTGGTGGGGGAGAGAAGTTAAGGGCGTCTCTTCCTGGCGGGAGGCATTCCGTCCAGCGCTCTGGCGCGGACCAGGCATGCTGCCAGAGAACACTGACTCCAGGTCCTCCCCGCCCACATCCAGCTGCTCCGGTAGGGACTGCGTCGGCCGCAGGAGGCCCCTCTGGCGCTCCAGCTGCTAGTCTCTGTGGGAACCCTCGTCCCGCCCTCTTCTCCTCCAGGTCTCTGGGCAACCCGACCCCGGGCGTCCTCCCCTCTCCTGCCGCTGCACCCCGTCCCAGCTGGGCCCCTCTTCCCGGCCCTCTGTATCCCGCCAGGTGCCCCAGGGCTCCCCAGCCCAGTGTCTGCAGACCCCATCTTCCTGCGTGCCCAGAGCCCCACTAACCCAGTTCTCCACTTTGACCCAGGAATCGGTCCTGCCCCTACTCTGCACGCCAGGAGATCGCCATCCTCACCCCACGTTACCCCTCATCATGCGCAACCCAGGAGGCCCGCCTTCTATGCCTCCATCCTGCTCGTGCTTCATTGCCTCGGGGTTGCGGTCCCCTGCCCTAAAATGACACTGACATCTCGCTGCCCTAGGGCACCGCCTCCTCCCCCCACACACACACGCGTTCCTCCTCGGGAGCCCTCTCGGGTCCGCTGCCCTCGCTCTAGGCAACCCGGTGCTACCCCTCTTCTCGGGCCCCTGTCCCTCCGCCCCACCCCCCCGCCCTGGCACGGCCTCGCCCCTGCGCCCGCTCCCGGCGCCGCTGCCCCACCCCCGCCCGCTCGCGAGGTCCCAGCCCGGGCTTCTCCCTCCTCCCGGCCCCCGTACCCGGTGCAGCGGCCTCTTGGGTCCGGAGAGCTTGCAGGCAGCACTGGGCCGGCGGCGCCGGGGAAGCGGGACCGGCGGGCAAGGGGGCACAGAGGGTGGGGGCGTCCCTGGGAAAAGGCACCGGCCGGAAACTTGTGCACCAGGCATCAAGGTTCCGTCGCTGATCGGGATAGAGCAAGGGGACGGGGGGGGGGGGGGGGGTTCCCCGAGGTCGCATGGGTATCGCTGCGCCGGGTCTGTTCTCCGCGCCGAGCCTCCCCACCACGCCAATCAAAGCTACCCAGCAAGACAGAGGGCAGGAGAGGGATGCTTCTTGTGATAGCTCGGACCCCGGAATAAAATCCAAGGAAGCAAGAAATTAAAATTTAGGGAACAAAGGCTTTATTTTAGGCCAGGCCTGGAGACTCAGCCTCCAGGAGCCAATATGGAAACTGCACGCCTTACAGCTAAAAGGTTGGGTTTCAAAGCCGAAAACCACAGGAATGTTGCGAACTTTGACACAGTTTGATAGCATCTGGGCTTCTTGGTATCTCCTGTAACTTCCTTGTAGTTAAACGTTTCCTAAGGAACAGCACATTTTATTACAGATAGGCTGAAGGGGGTGGGGGGGATTACAAGAAACTGAAACTTAAAGCTTTTACGGGAAATGGAGACATAACCTAAAAAGAATGGGGAGGGGAGGGGGATTTACAAGGAGCTGAAACTTAAGTCTTTTCTGGAAATGAAAGTTTAATTTTTATTGAAACGGCGCATACAGAACAGGACGAAGGCGCACTGGCTAGAACTATGTTACAACACTTCTTAGCTGGGCCCTTGGGAACACCTCAAGGGTGCAAACAGAGGCCGGAAAAGGCCTGGCATCGCCACAGACATAGGTGGGAAGAGGCATGTTTCCCGCTGAACACAGAGGATGCGGAGGCCTGGGGCGGCCTGCGTTTGCAGATGGGCAGCCCAGTCCCAGGAGGTAGGGCTGCTGGTGTTGGAAATGATGCCCCAGTTCTGAAGACCTGAATCCAAATGAAACTTACCCTCCTTGATCCGAGTTGCCCCAGTGGCTAACGGCCCCTCCCTGTGGAGCAGCTGGAGTCACCACACTCCGCCAGCTGCGCCCTGGATGCCGCAGCCCAAAAAGTCTTATTTGGTTGGGACCACAAAGTATCCTTTCTAATATGCTTCTAGGCAATAAAGTAAAACAAAGGCAATGCACAAATTCAAATTCTTAAATATATATGGGGGAGGGTCACCATCAGCTGGAATGGAGAAGGTCATCGCCTTCACCAGAGGACACAGCTGAAGTTCAACGTCCTCTAAGGCAGCCCAGGGCCCTGAGGGCCTGATCTGCATCCAGTCTGTGTTATAACATGCCAAAAGTACAAAATTCAACGGATTCCTAAGAATGCCAGCTATGGTGAAGAACTTCTGTATCAAATGACATTTTTTGAAAATCCATTTTATTTCAAGAAAAAATTTGAAAACACTGAAATGATATTCTGAAAAACAATTTTGGGGCCACATAAAAAATACGATGAATGTTTAAATTTTAAAAATGTGTTACAGTAAATGACACATTGCCATTAATGCCCCTCAAGATAGTCCAAACACTTAGCTCATGGTCCTTGCCGATTTCCAAAGCAGTTCTGGCAGACCCCGAGTGGTACGTCCTCAGGAGCAATGAGTGATTTAAAAAGCAACGCAGTGAATGTGGCTGTCCAGGGACTCCCAACTCAAAGGCAGGCGAGGAAAACCGTGGAGAGTGTCAGCATCCAGAGTAGTCACCAGATTGTTCTGTGCAGCTCTGCTCCACCCATCAAACTGACTGTGAATGGTAAATATTTTCAGTTGATTTGGGACATCAAGCGAGCCACAGCCACACGATAAATACCTCAGGAGAGAGAACTTCAGGGTGGCTTCAGAAAGTGGCATGAATAACAGCCAGCGGGAATGTGGTGAGAGAGATTCATGGCAATGTCTCTTTACACTCACATTGTTGCCCCTTCCTGCTCCCCTTTCCTGCTCCCTGGGTCGAGGTTCTCCAGTATCTTCAACTACACTCTGTGTCCACACCAGAGCTTCTCGACCTGGGTACTGCTGGAGTTCTGGGCTGGATCCTTTCTGAAATGGGCCCATCCTGTGCATTGTGGGGTGCTCAGCAGCATGGAGGCCACCATCCCCAGATGCCTGTGGCACCCTCAGGTCACAACTCAGAACACTTCTGAACATCACCTTGTCCTCCCCTGGGGGGTGGCATTGCTCCTGGTTGGCATTGCAGGTCTGTAGGAGTGGTTACCCAGTTGGAGCCTCCACCCCAGTCCCCCTAGAGATTCAGACTCATGTAACTAGCTGCATCCACTACGGTGACAGGCACCTCACTCCAATCCCAGAAATGGTGATGGTGACCAACATCTAGAGGGCCCTTCCTCAGTGATGGCCACTACTGAGTGCACTGAACCCACAATGCAAGTCCACATGGGCAGTGCTGGGGGATCCCCGTTCTACAGAAGAGGTTGGGTGCTACAGCCAAGGTGAGCCAGCACAGAGACAGCCTGGGGCTGGTGCAGGTGAGCCCCTGGCAAGCACCTCACCCTCCTCCCTACCCCGTGCCTGCGTTCACTCCAGCTCACAGCAAGGGCCTCTCCACACATCTTGCCTCTACCAACCCTTCTCTGTGTGGCATCCTGGAAACGTTTTTAAACCCACAGAGTCTCTGACTTAAAATCTTTCTTGTTGTGCTATCTACAACCCAGACACCCGTAGGAGCCCACGTAAACCTGACCCTGGCCACCTCAACCTCCTGGGCCTCAGTGCCATGCTGCCTTTCCACAGCTCAGCCCACCAGCCTCTCCCAAGGGCCTCTGTACAGGCTTGGAAGGTGGCACACACCTGTAATCCTACTGCTTGGGAGGCTGAGGCAGGAGGATTGAGTTTGCTTTCTCTCTGGGATGTTCCCCCCCTGCCCCTCTGGGATGGCACCTCTTTGGCCATTGAGAGCTCAACTCTAAGAACATGTTGTCCCTGGAGCCTGTGGTGAGGGGGTCAGGTAGGCAGGCAACACCACTGGCTCCTCACTCTGTCACCTCATATTCCCTCCCCCTCTGTCAGAAACCTGGCCTGTCCCACTCCTGGGGGTAATTCTGATGGAGCCCTCACCTGCAGCAAGCCCAAACCGTGCACATCTCAGCTCCTTGCCTCCCTGCTCCCCACAGCCGGACAAGCACCAGCTCCCCTGCCTTCCCCTGTCTCTGCTGTCCCCGCCCCTCCCCAGGACTCCAGCTCCAGCCTGCTCCCTGGAGCCCTGGCCTCCAGGTCCTTGCCCACACTGGCCCGCCAGCCCCTCCCCCAACTGCATCCATTCAGAAGCTTTCTGCAGCCCCCACTGGTCACGTGGCGCCATCCAAGTGCCTTGGCCTGGAGTGTGAGAAGCTTGGTGAAGTGGTTCTGTCACTTCCCCTCACCCTTCATCCTGAGCTCCAGTAGCTTGCTTCCCTCACTGTCCCAGAGCTGGCTCTGCCCCTCCAGCAAAGCCTGATGATCCTCCCTCCGCCTTTGCCCTGAAGAATCCTTCGTACTCTGACCTCCTACGCTAGCTGGGCATCTCCCACACATCCCCATGCCACCCTGCCGGCCCAGAAGGGTCATTCCCACCCTCATTTAAAAGCCTCTAGTGTTCTGCCTTCAGGGTGAACCCCTTGCCTACACGCACGGCCTCTCACATGCTGCCTCGGCGTCCTTCCTCTCCCCATCCCGGCCACAGAAGGCATTCTAACTTCTTCATTCTAGGGCCACTCTGCCTAGGCTCACGCTCGATCTGGGAGTCCCATCACATCCTCCAGTGCTGTCAAACAAACTCCTCTACCCTCAGCAGCTGCACTGCCCAGCCTCACCAGGGTCTGCTTGTCCACATTCTCCTGACTCCATGTTCAGGGCCCAGCCCTAGCAAAGCCCATGCCACAGCCCTCAGGCTGGAGCACTGGTGGGCTTGGGGAGGATCTGAGGCTTGCTGTAGACCTCCAGCCCAGAGGCAGTGACCCCACTCCTCCTTCTCCCAAAAAGCCTTCTCAGAAACCTTTCCTGGACCTCCCACCACTCTGCCCACATCTGAGACCTGCCTTATGTTATCTTGTTTCCCTACACAGTAACCACCCTACCCCCTACTCCCAAACCTGTGCC